AACATTTCCACCGGTACTGCCTGGGATACTGTTCCAATATAAGAACCGAAGTGGCCGGCCACATTGGTTATCCCAGTCTTTGTTGTTGGCATGCCTGTGAGGTTGACGCAGGTTTGACTTTGCAGGCGTGTCAGTGGTAGAGCCCTGCAGTGGCTCTAGTTGCCGATGGTGCATGTGAACAGTATCCCAGGGAGAGATGGCGGCTAAGTTGGAGCTAAACTGGGGGAAATGAGAACCAGGCTTAAGAGTCAGTTAGTGAGAGGTACAACTGTACATGTCCTTTACCGAACATTTGGGTTTATTATGATGAAACCAGATCGATATAGTGCAAACTGATGTGTTTAGTGAAAGTATTTGTCCTATTTTTATCAAAGGCATTTGGTAATGCAAGTACAGCATACAACAATAACTCCAGCAGGTTCGGAAAATTTACTCAAATCAAATTTAGGGAAGATGGAGCAGTTTGTGGGTATGTACAGTTTGTGAGTATGTATGTATGTAACGGTCAAGATTATTTTCTTACAATCTTGTTGGATACACTGTGGCTAAGATCAGAACAACTTTAGAATACTTTATTTATTGAATTTGCCACAGTGACAGGTGATTAAACAGGATTTGCATCCTTATTGATTTCAACCCTTTCATCACCCACCAAGCCCATGAAAGGTTGTACCACACCACCGGTGTCTACTCCCCTCACTCCTTATGAACAGCGGTGTGGGTTCTTTTATGTGCCACAAGAATCAGAACAGTGAAAAAGCTTTGAGATGGGGCCTGCGGTTTTTCGTCCTTATCCGAGAAGACTAGAATGTCTAACCATTTGTAGATGTCAAAACAAGGACGGCTGATTCTCCTCAGTTATTTTAAGGCCCTCATGAGTGTTAGTCCAGACGGGGTTTGAACCCGTAACCTCCTGCTCGGCAGACCAATGCTTATATATCCAATTAAGCTAACCGGGCAAGGGTATGAAGTATACATGTAGTCGATGCTTTTGTATAAAGTTTAGTAGCATCCAGAGCTGTCATTAAGGGCCATAACCTGTAACACCTGATATTGCTGAGCTCGCTTGATGTTACAGGTGTTGAAAGTGCAAAGCTAAAGGTGGCACTATAAATTTTTGTGAGATGTTATGGGTGAATCTTTACTTGCTAAGGCTGTGCCAAAACTTAGTGACAGCCCTGGCATACAAGTACATTAAATAGACTCCTGAAGGGCAAAGACAGTTCATACTGATGGCATTTTTGGTTTCCTGCCAGACTGTGGAAGCAGCTGTTGCGGATGCCCACAGTATAATACTTAATTTTAGTTAAAACTGGTGGGATGGTATGGGTATTCTGAAGTTTTTCTGATACAGTTCATCATGTGGTTTAATTCCACATTGGTCATTATGTGTTGATAGACATTCTGCATTTTATTTTGATCCTATGATAACTTATGACAACATATTCAGCTGAGGGCAAGGTCTTGGGGTTCAAACCCTGGCTATACTACCAAACACAGGGTCATGCAAGTTCTTGTGTCAGTTCAGAGATCCAGTGATTTTGTTTGCTCTGTGTCCTGTATCCTTGACACAAAAATATCTCCAAAGATTCAAAATGATTAATGGCATGCGTCCTGTAGGACACAAAGATCAGTTTGATGGACCTTGTCAATACCTCCAGTCCTTCAGATATGGCTGTTAATAATGTCTTACAGTAATAATAACAATTTATTATTATTTTTCATTGTTACTGAATGAAAAATATATTTGCCTTTTTCTGTCACCAGAGCTGCGCTCAGAAAATATTTGCTGGAGAAGTCTAGAATTGTCTCACAAGCACCAGCAGAGAGGTAAGACGGGATGTAACTGTGCAGTGATTGACCCATTGCTGTAGGGCCTCCCCACATTTTCAGCTTAAGTAACCACAACAACGACGATTTGATTGAGAATGTTCCTTAGAGAGGATTATTTACTTGATTTCAAATTTATCATGTTTGTAAAAGGTTTTCACCCAGGAGTTATTTCATTGGTATATAACGTACATGTATAGTTGTGCAGCTGAGTGTATTCCTTAATAGGATGGTTGTTGATAGTGACTGATGTGGATCACTTTAGGTGACTGGGAAACTGCCCACCTACCCCTCCCCTAAGCTAACATTAACACTTACTTCTCACTTGGGGCAAAATGATAGCTTAGGGGAGGGGTAGGTGGGCAGTTTCCCAGAAACCTAAATTAATCCACTAATGTTTCAACAACCTGTGCGGTGATACAACTAACATTGACTCACTTTCAACCTGATGTCATGTGATACAACTTACTTTCACTCTGGAGATGACTTCTGCACAGCTTGTTGAAACATCACTCACTGTTAGCAACAGTCCCAGAGTGTATTCAGGACTACGTCGATCCAGTACAATCGTGGGCTAGCTATTCATCATATTTACTTAGCCTCACTCATTTTGTCCTAAGATGTTGGAAAACTTTTCTGGAGTTGAATTAATGTAGACTGGATCCAAGTACAAAAAACAGCAAGAAAAAAATTAGGGGCAAGTTTTTGAAAAGGTTTTCTTAGTTTACCAGCGTGCATAGAAAGTCGTGTCCGATAGCCCGGGGCTAGTGATTTTTGTTCTTAACTTGCCCAATGGGCAAGTGCTGTTTTGGGGGGAAATTCAAATTAAAGAAGGATCATAATCAATCCTGCTAATCAAAGAGGGTTTTGGGGCTAGTTGAAGTGACTTGTGGGCTAGTACATGCTAGGTAGAGGTTACCCAAATGACAGGCTGTAAAACTGACTTTCTTTACACCCTGGTTTACTCATAAAACTTATTAGTAATTATTAGTCTGGCCAGGAGATATTTACCACTAGCATAAATGATTATACTTGTTGCAGAAATTATCATGTGTTTTACTATCTGCTTGCTGGAGCGAGTCCTGAAGACAGAGAGGAACTTCATCTCACAAATCCAGACGAATACTGCTATCTAAACCAGGTAAACTTGTGAATAATATTATTATTTTACCAGTGGCATTGTTTTCTTTGGTGAAATCAAGTATTTATTTGCCAGAAGCCTCTTAGTTTATGTGCTGGAAAGATGATTACAAGTTCTGATTTGGTATGATTTTAATATTATTGTGCATAGATTTTTTTATTGTTTTTGTTTCTTAGAATCTTATTATTTTGTTTTGCAGAATGAATGTTATACTCCAGAGGGAAGTAACATTGATGAAGCATATGAATTTCTAAGGCTTCAAAAGTCTATGGAAATGGTGGGATTCACTGCAGATGTACAAAAGAGGTTTGTAGTGCACAGTACCTCTGTTAAAAGCTAAAATTGGTAAAGTTGGTCATTCTAGAAAAAATACAGCCTTCTTGAGAAAGATGTACCGGTAGGTGTAATACCCATCATGGCGTGAGTGTGGGGTAAAGAGAAAAATCTAGGGTGCATTCCTTTGGGATGATCCGGATCAGGATTAGTGATCTGAGATCATTTGGATCATGGTAGATCAAATGAAGCGATGAATTCTTGTCCAGAGTGGATTCATCGCTTCATTTGATCTACTATGATTCAAGTGATCTAGGATCACTGATCCTGATCCGGATCATCCCAAAGGAATGCACCCTTAAACTCTTCAACAGGATTCAAACCTTAAAGAGCACTATATGACCTCTCACACACTGGACAGACGCTCTCTTCGTTGAGCCATGTGGGAGATGTGTAGATAGCAAGGCAGATAAATGCATTCAATACGCAATAGGCATCCCTTGTAAACATGTATGTTAGAGTCAGCAATGTCAAGCATATACATGTACTACAGTGTTTTAAAATTTGCATAAGAGACCTTTAGGTTCGAGGACGAGATTTAATTTGAAGTTTTTTTGTGTATTCTCAAAAAATATACAGCCCCAAGAAATCTTCATTTCACTTTTTTTAACCTGAAAAGTTAGCCCGGTTATTTTGATTGAAGGAAGTTTAGCCCTCTTCTTCTCGCAAAACTTCTAATGTTTTTAATAACTTGTTTCAATCGTGACTACAATTTTGCTAAAATAGCTGGCAAATTGATTTCGGCAATTGTGTTTTCGAGCCAAAATGATGCTGGTTAATGCATGCACACTACTTACTATTAGAAAAGTGCGTCCCTGGTAGTAAGGCTTGGTAGGGATTGAGAAAGATGTACATATGCAATAATCATCATGTAACATGTGTGGGAGAAAGAAAAACATCTCAAGGCCGTTACAGGATTTGAACCAGACTAACCTCCTAAACACTATGCCTCTATCTGTGTCCCTAGTACTTGTGACTTGAAGATCATCATATCTTTCTCATTCACAACCAAGCTTAAACTTTGACTTCTTTCTTAAATTACCACCTTTCAGTTTGATTTGCCTCTCACTGTTCAGATCTTCCAAACTTTTAGACTGACCTTTATTCCAGCCTTGACATCTGTTCCCTGTTCATTCAATTTCCCTCTTTTTTGTCCACAGAATTTTTTGCATTTTATCTGCTGTTCTTCGGATTGGAAACTTGAAGCTTGCGCGGGTACGGCTTTGTAAATTTTTTTTTCGGTCTTGATTGGTTTATAGTTTCTTGCACCCATAGTTTACAAAATGTATTAATATTAATTTATCTTCAGAGACCAGGTCATGAGGAAGCCATTCTTAAAGAAAGTGATGACTTGACTTTTGTCTCGGATCTTCTGATGGTAAGTTTTTGTTTTCTCTATTACAGTCTAACCTCATTGTGTGACATCCTCTCATAAGCAACCACTTACATCCAATGCACCCAATTTTTTCCAGTCAAAGCCCTTAGTAGATGGAACCACTCATAAACACCCACGTCGCATAAGAGACTGCAACCACTTTTTTGGGGGTGATGGTTTATTATATTGGTTGATGGGTTATATATTTTCATCATCTTTGACCTCTTATAAGCAATGTCTCAACTCATGACCTGTCTGGCCACAGTTGTTCAAAAGGTGAATAGCACTATCCACCGGATAAATCTCTCTCCACTGGATAGCGCAATTGGTTTCCCTAATACTTATTCACTAGATAGTGATTTATCCGATGGATAGCGCTGTCTGACATTTGAACAACCCGGCCCTGATCTCTATATTCACTGTACTCACTTTGTTACTCATGCCATATGAAGAACCTCTAGTGACAACATGGAAATACACATATTGTGACTTAGAAATAGCATGCAATTAAGACAGAATCCACCAGCTAGGAAATTGAGTAATTTTAATTTTCAGTGGACAAAAACCTTGTACCAGAATAATTTAAAGATTTTTCATTCTTTTTTACATTTTTCAAGGGCTAAAGATAATAATAATTCATCTGTAGTAACACTAGTCATCTTAATAATTCATCTGTAGTAACACCAAAGAAAATTTCTTATGGGAGCCAGAGAAAGTGAATGTCAAATTTCACAAAAGGACATCTTACACGTTAAATATTCAGAATTTTACCTATGTTTTCACAATAAATTAATTCTTCTGAAATTTGACATTCGTTTTCTCGGACTCCTATGAATGAAGCCTGGGCTCCCCAGTCTCAAAGAAATAAGCAAAATAAAATGAAATTCGCGGAGTGATAATGTTAAAAATAGGAACTAAACAGAGACTGAGTCAAGTTATGAATTCAGTAACAAGATAGAAAAAAAAACTCTGGATTGGAACAGAATACTTTCTTTTGTTAGTACAGCAGAAGGGAATATAAAATCGATTTGAACTATGCGTTCATTGTTTAGGGCTGCCATGTTGTTTTCGTCAAGTCGAAGTGCATCACTTTAATCGCCCAAAAATCAGCAATAATTCATTGATTCGGGGTCGACAATCCAACAAACACATTGCAAACGGATATAAAAAGCTAGTTCATACCATTGAACGCGAGGCTGTGCAATTTTTTGTGGCAAAAAACCTTCCTGCGGTTCAAACGTGAACTGCAAACTGCAAACGTGACCGCAAGGGAGTGGTCATGTGACATTTTGTGGTTTGCGGTTTGCAGTTTCAAATGAAAAACCTGATGCTAAAGGTCTCTAATGTTTTGAACAGGTTAACCGGCGCAGTGTCATAGAAGTTCTCACAACCAAAAAAACCAAAACAAGAAATGAACAATTTATTGTTCCTTACAAGTATGAAGAGGTGAGTTGTAGAATTTTTGATGAATGTCATCCATTGGCATTGTACATGTATGTATCCCTGAACTGTATGATCTGTGAAAGTTTTAACTTTGTGTGTGGCCAATGAACTAACCTTACCTGTTACAAAGCACTTATAGCATGTAACGAACAGTGGCAAAAAGTGCACGTGTCAATTAGAAGTCGCTACACAACGTGACTGCCTTGAAGAACAATTTTGTTTGGCAAGCACGTGATTTTTGTACAGACCATTCATTGCAACTAAGCTCATGTCCTCTCAGAGGACTATTTTTTTTTGCTTGGCCACCATTAGGTGGTTAAAGGTTAAAGGTTAAAGATTAAAGGTCTGTTTAAAGTGGAAAGCTCACTTAGCTTATCCAGGTAGTGTTTTGCATTTCTCTCAACTCCCTTTCCCTTCCCTTTCAAATGCCTGCCATGCAGGTTAGGTACTGGTAGTTTACTGGTACTCCACTCAAATATTTAGGAACAAATAATCCAAATACAGTCGACTCTCTCGTAACGGACACCTCTATAAGATGGACACCTCTGTAAAATGGACACCTAGAGTTGGTCCCTGCCTTTGTTTATTCCCTTTATTTGACTCTTTATAAGATGGACATCTCTCTAAGACGGACACTTAGTGCTGGTCCCAAAGGTGTCCGTCTTGGAGAGAGTTGACTGTACAACAGTTGGGAATGACTGACAACAAATTCATATGTGGTCAGATTGGGGCTCAAACCTTTTTAAGTCTAATGCTCAGGCCACTTGGCCCTGCTGCTTCCCATGTGGAGGGGAGAAGGGTTCATAAGAGGTTGATTCTGTTGTTTAAATTCTATTTGATAGGCATTAGCCACAAGAGATGCTATGGCCAAAGCATTATATGGGACCCTGTTTGACTGGATTGTATTACAAGTCAACCATGCACTGGCTATCAAACAATCTAATGTAAAGGAGGTAATAAAACATTGTACTATTTATAACATACACTGTTGCATCTTTTACTTTGGCCCACATTCAGGGCTGTCACTGAGGTCTAGGGGCCAAGAATTTCCGGAGCAACTTAGGTTTCTGGGAAACTGCCCACTTACCCCTCCCCTAAGCTAACATTAACTCTTACTTCTCACTTAGGGCGAAATGTTGGCTTAGGGGAGGGGTAGGTGGTCAGTCTCCCAAAAACCTAAATTGATCCGAATTTCCCCTGGCTAGTACTATGAGTGATCCTGCCCACTGTACTTTCATAGGAAACAAAAGAAAAATGGAACCAAAAGAACTTTCTATAGCAGTTCAATTCCCTGCCTACTTGTTGCATACACCCGATAACTTGAAATCTTAGTGACTGCCCTGCTTCTTAGGGACATTGTTAAGAAGCCCCTGTAAATAAGTGGCTGCAGTTATAGGAAGCTTTGGGTGTAATGCAACACCATTCTTTGGTGGAATGTTTTTACTTTTTCAAAATGGTTAGGTCATAACTTATTAATAAGTAGAGTCCAAAATGTCGTTGAAACAGAACCCAAAAGTTGAGAACCACAGTGTTAACAAAATAGTGAAAAAGGTCCAGGGATTGCTTCGGTTTTCATGTCATTGTTCACTTTTAAATGGCCAATATGAGGTTTATTTGTGTAAATTGCATAGTTTAAACCATTTTAGTCCCAAGAGTGACCGACATGAACTTTCTCCTTACAACACCAATACTCAGTGAATAGAGAAGACAATGAGAGTTGATAAATGATGGCATTGCTTTGATCTTAAAGCAAATTCTCTCAACTGGTTCTTAAAGGAAATGTATGGAGATCAGTCTGAAGAATTTGTATTTGGATAGTGGGGTTTAAAGGGTTAAGATGCAATGGAGTGGCTGTTGTCAGTGTGCAAAGATGACAGTTTTAAGAATGATAAAACAAAAGTGAAAGAATGAACTGTCTGTCGGTAAGATAAACCATGGCCATTTGGTCATGTAGCCATTCAAGGGAGCTGGCTGTTAGTTGAGATCCAACCTTTGTGGTTATCTCTGAACCAGCATGTGAAACCTTGTTAAAATACTCGCTAGAGATAAATTGTCATCTCAGACGAGTAATCCGTTTATAAAAGAGAGGGATAAATAGACAGATAAAATCTGATGGTTTATTCGTCCAAGGTGAAAACCCTCATATAATCTTTCTGACATGCATTATCCAACAGAAAGCTTGACTTAGAAGATGGACAATCCATCTCTAGTTTTGAAATGGTCATTCCTGGAAACCATCAGCTTTGTGTCAGTTGTAAAGCTCAATAATAAATAGACATTTTAGGGTAAATGGAATAATAATGGACTCTTTTTGTTATTTCCAGGGATGCTCTATAGGAGTTCTGGACATTTTTGGATTTGAGGATTACCAACACAACAGTTTTGAACAATTTTGTATCAACTTTGCAAATGAAAAATTGCAGTTTTACTTCAACAAGCATGTCTTCAAGCTTGAACAGGTGAGTTTGTTGGGAAATGATTTGACACATTCACAAGACTGTGTTTTAATGGTGAAATGCCCCACCAATACTTTCGACGTCAAACAAGTGGAACAATACGTTTTACAACAGTCTAGCTCGAAGAGTGGACTCGACATGTCGACTTGACAGATGGAGTTGTCAAGTGGAAAATGCATTTCAGTTCACTCAAGGGTCTGCTTCGCAAAGTTTTCCGTCGAGCGAATCTTACGATGGACAAAATTATTGTTTTACTGTACCCGGCAAAATAATGTTATTTAAAGTGAATTTGACTTCTTTGTATCTTTTTTTTCTCGAGTAGATACAACTTGTCCATTCTTAAAGGGAACCTCCACTCTTACTACAGAATAAGTTTAAATCGAATAAAATTATGTTGATAAACAAATTTGTTCGAAATTTGTCTTTAAAAAAGTGTTTATATCAGGAAAAGTGAATTTTAAAATCGCTTATTTTTTTAAGACGGTTGCTCTATTGTTCTGACACAAAGAGCTTTTTGTTTAATAACAATAGGGCAACCATTACACGTCACAATTATTCAAGATGGCGACGCCCGCAAAATTTGAAAACAAAAATAGGCGAATCTAAAAGTTATTTCTTTCGGATACAAACGCTTTCTTTAAAAATATTTTAGACTGACTTGACTGTAACAGTTATTTCCTGTGATTTAAAGTTATCTTTTTGTTGAAGTGGAGGTTCCCTTTAAGGATTGTAAAACATATTTTAAGAGTCGTATCTTGTTGACAGTTTGGAAGAATCCTAGCACACACCAACCCCCATAATCCCTGGGAGAGCTTGCTTGCAGGCTATCCCACTGGCACTTCTTATTAACCACTCATACAAACAACAAAAAGTATTGGTGATTCCAACATAATTTAAATAACCGCTAATTGGAATTTCCATGCTATCTTAATATGTGAACACGGAAACAGATGTTTCATATGTTCAATAGGTTGATTGTACTATCCACTAGATAAATCTCTATCTAGTATATCTATTTTTTTCAACTGCTGAGCTGCGTCTTTGCTCTTTTCTGGCATATCACACCCAAGCTTCATAGGTTACTAACTTGAACCCTTATGAAGTTATGAATATATGAAAATGATATATGTGAACTGCAGAGTGAAGAATTAAATGAAGGATGATCATCGCACTTATATACTTTGCCTTTGCAATTGTGAAAAGGCTTTTTTTTTGACAACCGCAAAAGTTGCTTATGTAACTGCAATGATCATTCTTCACTTATTTTTTAACCCTTTTTAAGTCCCAAGAGCAACTAAAGTCAATTTTATCTTAATATCAATACATAATGTAGAGAAAATGTTGTGAGAATTAACGAAATGATCATTTGATTTGAAGGGCTTTGATATGCAAACAAATTCTGTCAACCAATTCCTAAAGGAAATGTATTGAGATTAGTCTGGAGAATTTGTATTTGTATATTGGGGCTTAAAGGGTTAAGGGACTCCTTCCAGCAGTGTCAATGGATTTTTGCTCACTGGCTCTCGTCAAAAGTTAAAATTAAATTGTGGAAGGGCTTATCGTTTCTGATTTTAAATTTCGTTTTGTGTTATATAATTCATCCTATAGTACTCATAATTTTGTAACTTTCAGGATGAATATGTTTCTGAAGGAATTGATTGGAGAAATGTTGAATTTGTTGACAATTCTGCTTGTTTGGATTTGATTTGTGGCCGGCCAACAGGACTTTTAAACTTGATTGATGAGGAGAGCAGGTTAGTGTACAGGCACACCAACCCGAGCACAGTAATCCCATACCCTACCATCCCTGGCCCAAATAGTCGAATTCATCGTAATGGAGATAAAAAGTCAGTATGGCAACCATCTCCCTCTTTGCTGTGCATTAGTATCTTCCCTTTTTGTGCAGGTAGTTTATTCAGACATTGATTTATGCCGTGGGTTGTAATACAGTCATACCTGTATTAAGCGGACCTCGAAACTGTATGTCGCGGTCACCTTTTTTCTACTTTCCAGTGAGTTGTTTTTTTTTTGTTATGATGTTCACTGTACCCTACATGTAGTTTTATTGCAGCAGACACGCTGTATATGTTGTTAAGTTGTCTTTAACTTGCTTTCTTTTGGCACAAGATGAGGTAGAAACAGTTTGAGGTCAATTTATCGTGGAATACTAGTGACAGATACTTCGCCTTTTCACCAGCTTCATTTTCTTGAATAATTCTTATGTTTGTCAGATCTGTATTAAACGGTCAGAAAGACATTCCCCACCAGTGACCGCCTAGTACTGGCTAGACTGTATAAAGAATTGTTTTCTCTTCTTTTGCTAGTTTTCCTGGTGCCTCGGAAACATCATTGTTGGACAAATTGAACAAGAATCAATCAGGCCATGTGCATTATGAGCATTCTCTTATTCAGGAAGCTTTTGTCATCAAGCATTATGCTGGCAGTGTCAAGTACAATATTCAGGTTAGCAAACTGTTAGGCTATTATTTGTTCCTTTAATTATTTTTCCAACCTCGCCGTCACAAATGTCCTGTTTGAAGTTAAACAGTCTGATGAATTAACGTTTTAATTGTAACGACGTGTATTGTTTGCTTGCAGGGATTTTTGGATAAAAACAGGGATCTCATGAGACCGGACATTTTAAGTGTTTTAAAGAACAGCGATTCACGATTTGTCAGAGACTTGCTTGGTAGGTTCTTAGGGCCTGTTTACACTGCGGCGGGGGACCCCAGATAGGTGAGGTAACATGTGGCGGGTCACCCCACCTATCATGTAAACGTGATCAAATTATGGATAGGCGGGTTACCCTGTTATCTCACCTACCTTGGGTCCCCCACTTCCGTGTAAACAGGCCACTGACTGGCATTTGCTAAGACAGTAGGGACCTTTCTGCATCAGGTGTTTCTTGGAAACCCGCAAACTCGGCATAGTGCAGTTTGCAGTTACGCGTTTGCAGTTGAAAGTTGTCAGGATTTCAAATTTTAGCAGGACGTTATTTGTTTCGTGCTGTCACGTTGTTTTTCGTGTCATGAAGTCGAAATACTTCACTTAAACCGGCTCATAAACATGAAGAATGCTTTGATTCGTAGTCAAATATCTAAATAGCACTTCGAAGGCAGGTACAGGAAACTAAGTTTTGCCTTTAAACGTGAGGCTGTACAATGTTTTATTGCAAAAACCCTTGCCGTAAACCACTTTTCTTGCCGTTCAAAACGTGTTTTGATCAACACTGCTAAAGCTTATATCAAAGCGCTTTTTCCGGTTCTTAGCCCCTCTGTTTATAACCCTCCTAAAACTCCCGACGAAGGCCCAGGACTTGTAAGCGGCAGTTTACGGTATATTTTCAGGATTAAAACTCATCTCACATTTTTATCATTAAGATCAGGAAATTTCCTTTTGTTTTTCTGATAACACTGACTGTTTTTTAGGTGCTGATCCATTGGCCATGTACAGGTGGTCAATTCTCAGGTCTTTCTTCAGTGCTGTTCATGCTTTTAAGATGGCTGGCAGACACCATCGTGCAAGTAAGAGACAACGAGTAGTTACAATTCAAACCAGTCTTTGTTTGGGTTCTCACGCGCGACGTCATCAGTGGCCGTTACAAATAATAAATTGAAATCTTAAACCGAAAGATATAATAAATATCTCATGAACTTCTTTTTCTCAGTCTGTCCCGTAAGTTACGGACTTCGAAGTCGGTCAGTAAGAGGTAGTTACAAACCCGGTTTTAGAAGCCCGAACTTATGGACTTGTCAAACATCTCTGTACCAAGCACACGGCTATTAGTCCTGAGTTCGAGACAAGCGGCACGATCATAAGCTAGACAGGTAATTTGATTGGTGGGTAGTAAAACGCGCATCATCGTTTTTTAACCCTTTTACTGGCAGAGTGCTTGCGTGATGGATTTTTTGTAAGGTGACTCTAACTTTTGCGTCTGTGGACAAAATCCTATGGTGTGACAATTCAAATGAAAGCTCTCCGCCTGTACTTACACATGGTGCTATTTCACAAAATGAAATTTCGACCTTTAGTCGAAATTTGCTTTTGGCTAAATTTGGCAGTGAGAGGGTTAAGGGGGCTATACCACGCTACTTGCTATCTTTTTAAAAAACTTGAACGTTTGTCGCGTCAATTGAATTTCAAAAATAATGGTCTAGTTTTGTTATTTAAGACTATATTTAGGCATTGAAACTGTTTCCAGTCATCTGTGGCTACGGATGGCAAGGATGGAAATGGATTGAAACTTGAAACGTTGGGGTAACCTTTTCAAGTTTTGATGCAATGCCTGCGAAATCCCCCCCCTGCAAATTACTATGTTTAGTGCTCCCCCTAGCAATGTCTTGGTGTCATCAGTAGCCTCTTTAGCTCGTTTTGCAGCAATGTTGCAAAACAGGTTGCGCGTTCTTGTTGTCCCTTTTACCGTAGATTCATACGTGTCCCGCCAAAGTCGAGCAAATGATAAAAAGGCTGCTTGCTGGGTGTTTGCAGCGTTTCTTTAAACCTTTTTGTTTATTTCCCAGATGGGAAGGCGGAGGAGCGTCTCAGTACGATAGCCCGGAAAAGGAAGAGTGTAAGTGGTATTCATTTCTGTCCTTTTCTCGTGGCTTACACGCACGAGTCTGTTAGCCTGTTCCATGCGTTCAGATGGTGGGGAGCGAGTTTTAAAATTGTCCGTGGGGAAAACGAGGGGAAAAAGTCTCCCCTCGTTTTTTTTTCCTCGTCTATTTTTCGCCCACGCAGGAACAAGCTACGAGTCCGTTAACAAACCATTTAAAGTACATATTGTGGTTCAATGTTATTTCTTGTTTCGGGATATAGTATTTTGTGATTATGAGATTCGTGGAAGTTCTCGCGTATCCCGGCCGCGTAGTTCTACATATGAAGTACAACCAAAAAAACTAACACATTACATTGTATCTCTCGCTGAATCTGTCTTAAAACTGGTGAATGCTTACACCGCAAAGTGTCCTGTGGTTAATCCAAAATGACTTCATATCCTTTTGGTGAATATCAATCCATCGTGTTCTTTGGGCGTCACATGAATTCCCTTCTTACTTTAGGAAACTCTCAGGATTGGAAAATCGGCATGGAATTTCTAGTGGGTTAATATTTGGTCCAGGGATTTCTTCACTTCATTGGCTTATCCCCGTCACTTGGAATCCGAAGTACCCTCACTGGGATAACGCTATTCGCTGGATAAATCTCTATCCACTTGATAACGCGATGGGCTTCCCTAACTGGGGCCAGATTTCTGGATTTTACTACGCAGTGAAAGTTAACAAGTGATTTTAAAGTTTATTACATACATTTTTACTCCGGAATACGGTTAATCAGACCCGCCCTAATAGCTAATTTGATCTACAAATGCAGCTCTACTTCTCTCTATATTTCTCGGGATAGGAGTCTCCTAACACTCAACATGGAATGGAAAATATTTGACCATTGCATCCCAATACACGGCTGTTGAAGGCGTCTTGTTTTTGATCATGCCGTTTAAATTCTTTTTTTTTTGCAGCTCACGGTCCCTAAGTCTGCAAGGTAAGGCTTATACTGTCGTATGAGAATTTTGTGTTTTGGATTTGGTTGTCTTGATTTGTGTTACAATCAAAACTGTACTACACTTTAGGGGTTGCGATTGTGTACGCGGTTATGTAATGATGTGAATTTCTCAAAGTCAGCAAAACCGAATTTGTCAGATTTGAAGGTTTTTACAAAATATATCGCGGAAAGCGCAGGCTCCCATACCGAAAGGAAAGAAGTCGATACTTAAAAAGCAAGGATTCAAGGTCACACCTGGGAATCGCGGAACTCGCCGGCAACCTCCCCTACAGAAGGCCGCATGACAACCGACTGTGCTGATCCTAGTCATGTCTAAGTTCTAGACGGAATTCGATTCTTTGACATCCTTGAAACCTTCCATAACATGTTTTAAGCTCTCAAAACGAGATGTTACTGTAACGGGTAACGAGTAACGAGCACGGAGAACGGGAAAAGACAAAAATGAAAAATGGGAACAAAACCTACCTTAGACCCTATCCCATCATGCAGTAACTTCATTTCCAATTCTCCGTTTTGTTCCCATTTTTCATTTCCTGTTTGCCGTGCTCGTTGCCAATTCCCATTATTAGTAACATCCATCGTCACGTGATGATTAAGACATGCCTGACATTTCATCACTGACATATTCCATGCTGTGTTTCCTGATGATTTACACTCATCCCTTTTGTTATTTTCTCCGCTAGTTGTAGAAGTTTTAAAAAACTTTGTTTCCAATTAGGTCGAGTGCTTCATTTGACCGGGAAGAAGGCCCCGTTAGTCCTACCCTTGAAGCAGCCTCAATATTCAGAAAAGCTTCTAAAGCTATCAGGTATGTTTTGGCTGTAGCTCATACCGTAATCTCAAGTGGAACTATATTTGGTGTGTGGCGCACCTTAATCACGTGTTCCTATGTTCATAATGTGTGGCTGCTATATTTGGAATTACAACCAAATTAACCCATGAAGTAGAAGCTTTCGTAAGCGGACACCTTTGGCCACAAATATCTTGCCCGCACGAGGGAGGTGTCCTCAGTTTAAAAGGGAAGTCAAAAAGGTTTTTTTTGTGTGTAGTCTGTGTACAGCCACCCCATCTCCTCTCTCCGATTTTATTTTGTCTCGAGGGGGTTGGTGTACGCAGGCTATTTTGTTTGTCTTCTGGTAGTGACTTAATTTTCGCTACGGGAAGTGTCCTCCTTAATTGGAGCGAGGTTTGTCAGCGTTAGGTTGAGGCTTCTTGGAAATCGGATGCTAGTATCCATAATATTTCGTGAATTTCTGCGGTGACATTCTTTACTGTTGATTTTACTAAAGACCGACAGGAGTGTTTGATTCGTTTCATTTTTAATACAATTACGGCTTTAAAGCAAGTATGTATCAATCTATTTTCCGATGATTAATTATTAATTTTCTTAGCTATTTTGTTTTTTGCTGCACGATTACGTTTTTCGTTACCCGTCCTTATGACTTATGTTTTCGGTGAAGATTGTTTTCGACTAACTGTTTTTCGAGTAACACTCTCAAGTTTCTTTTGTTCGCAGGAGAATGCAGAGCAATAAACAAACAACCAAGGTAGGCAGTAACTCGTGTATTTTACTGGTTCTGTTTTCGTGAATGAAATCCTTTACTTTGACCATTCAAAGTAAATCTCTCCAAATAGTACCATTCACACGGTACTATTTATTTAGTATGTAGTTCTAACTTTTGAGTCTGTGGATGAAATCCTATGGTGTTACCATTCAAATGAAACCTCTTCAGCAGTACTGTTCCATGGTACTATTTACTTAGTATGTAGTTCTAACTTTTGAGTCTGTGGATGAAATCCTATGGTGCTACACTTTCACATGGTACTATTTAATTAGTACCGTATGTTGTTTTAACTTTTGAGTCTGTGGATGAAATCCCAAAGGGTGAGCAAAATAAACCTCTCCAGGGGTACTTTTTATCCTGTAATGGTTGTGTCAATCTTTATTACAAGAACAAAGAGGGATAAAAAAGATCTGTCCAGAGTGTTTGGATGAAGCATACTTACCCTTCTGCGGCAGACGTTTATCAGAAGCTCATAAGGTTCATGCTGATCACATATCTTTCACTTTATTACAGCCGCTGTCCAAAATCCGCCAAGGCCTGGAAACTAAGCGTGATATGACGGTGCGAACGTTTGATTATCTGTACAGGAATCAGCATCGAGGGAAGGGTAACCCTAAGAACCCGCCCACAGTCAGTGCACAGTTTCAGGTTTGTCCCTTATTACGCGCCTTTTTCGTTTGATGTTGATGACGATGTTAATCGCGGCATGTTAAGCTTAGTGGTTAGAACGCTGGCCTGCTGAGCGGGATGTCGGGTGTTCGATGCGCATCGTCAAAGTAAAAATCTCTAACCTTAATAATAGTAATGATAATGATAATGATGATAATAATAATAATAATGATAATGACAATGATAATGATAATAATAGTAATAATAATAATAATAATAATAATAATAGAGACCTTTAGCATCAGGTAAACCGCAAACCGCAAACCGCAGTTACGCGTTTGCAGTTTCGCGTTTCCCGGATTTCAAACTTTAGCAAGGCGTTCAGTCAGTTCATTTTTATGTAGCCAAAATATAATACAATACAAAGAATACATATAAGAATTGTAATGTTGCAAGGGAGCCTAGAGAAAACCAGAAGGCTTTATGAAGCCCGGGAAATTCGCGGGGTGATACGTTAAAAATAGGAACTAAGGAGAGACTGAGTTAAGTTATGAATTCAGTAACAAGACAGAAGAAATAGTTAACTCTGGATTGGAACAGAATACTTTCCTTTGTTAGTGCGGCAGAAAGGAATATAAAATTGATTTGAACTACGCATTCATTGTTTAGGGCCGCCATGTTGTTTTCATTAAGTCGAAGTGCATCCCTTTAATCGCCCAAAAATCAGCAATATTTCAATGATTCGGGATCAAAACTCCAACAAACACATCGCAAACGGATATAAAAAGCTAGTTCATACCTTTTAACGCGAGGCTGTACAATTTTTTGAGGCAAAAAACCTTGCCGTAAATCACTTACCGCTGGAAGCCTTTCCTGCGGTTCAAACGTGAACTGCAAACTGCAAACGTGACCGCAAGGCCGTGATCACTTGACATTTTGCGGTTTGCAGTTTCCCATGAAAAACGTGATGCTAAAGGTCTCTAATAAACCGTTCCCTGCCTAACTTGACGTCCACAATTCATCCTATCCGTTCAACTGTAGCACCCGTAACATCGACATGCTGTCAACTGAAGGTTTTTTACCTTCAAAAATGAAAGGTCTATTGCTGCACACAGGTGATAATGAAGTGTCCTCATTAGTGGGGCTGACTTTCTATGCGAATCTGTTTATTGGGCAAGAAACAAGTGTCCGTTGTCCGCATTAACGGGTGTCCGTATTAAGCAGTTTGAATTTAAAGAAAATGTAAGGGCCAGGCACAACGAAAATTGTCCGTAATAACGAGGTGTTCGCATTGAGCGGGTGTCCGTAAAGCGTTGTTCGACTGTGTTACCATTGTCCTACGCAAACGGTTAGACACCTTCCTACGGCACCGTTTGCATGTAGAAATGGCACTCCCTTCTCCAGAAGCAGACGTAAAAACGGTGACCTCAGTGGCAAGAAATTCGCAGCAGTTAGCTCTCGACCGAGGCAAGGGAACCCACCCATAGTCAGCGCTTTGTTTCTAGTTTTTTTTCCAGTGTTCTCGCTCTTATTTAAGTATCGAAACTGACTGAATTTGCCTCTTGCGATCAAGCTCTCTTCTCAAAAGCGCTCGCTTAGTGTATCATGGTAGAGTTACTGATATAGTGTTATTGTTTTCTCAGTCTTCTCTCAATCGTCTCGTGGAAATCCTGGAGGAGGCACAACCATTCTTTGTTCGCTGCATCAGATCTAACGCCGAAAAGGTAATTACTTATAGAAGGGTTCGGGCATCCGCAACAGCGGCTTTTGGTGAAAACAGCACAAAACAATAAGTTTGATCAGCAAAAGCAGTACACGTGCGTCTTACATTTTGACTTGTCTCTTGTTCAGTGACGTTCATTTATTAAATATTACAAGTTTGGTGGAGAACTTAAAACAAGACGGTAATTTCAGCTCTAGCAAAGTTTCATCCTTGGTGGTGGTGGTGGTGATGGTAGTGGGGGGGGGGGGGGGGGACGAAACCCTAGGAACGTCTGTGAGGGAGATAACGAAGAGCGCCCTTACACTAAATTAAATCCCGCCCAGTTCCCTATGCATTTCTTACTGCAGTAGTAAGGAGCATAATATGTTAGAAAAACAAGGCATCTTATCGATAATGATGATTTCTTTTATTCTCATAACCGTAGTACAGTAAACACCCGCTAATAAGAACTTACTTTTTTGAAGTCTGCCATAATAGGTTCTTGTATTTTGGGGAATTTATTGGCAATTTGGGCTAAGTAGGTTCTTAATCAGCTTGTTAATTTTTATAAATCAGATAAAAGATTGTTGATGACCAGAAAAATAGATATACTTTTTATTTATTCACAATTGTACTTTTATAATCCTAACAAAACTAATTACCGAATTTATATACAGTTTAGTACGAGATGTTCTTGTTAAACTCGTAATTAAACTGTAACCCACATATAAGAACCTGCTTAATTTGCTGGACTAAACAGGTTCTCGATTTTTGGGTATAAAGAGGCAAATTTTTTGCTGGAGGTTCTTAATCCACAGGTTCTCATTGGCAGGTGTTTACTGTATTTGATTTGCTAGTAACATTGCAAGGAGAAATTTGTTGCTGTACCCTACTTTAATTATTCTACCTGTTGTGTTCTTTGTAGGCTCCCCTAACATTTGATGGTGACTTGGTTGTCCGCCAGTTGAGATACACAGGAATGCTGGAGACAATACGAATCAGAACATTGGGCTATCAGTGGAGATTTACATTCGAGGTGAGTTTTGTTTGCGGCTTCTTACTTTTAAGGCAGCGAGCCGTAGAAGGTTCTCATTCTCAGAGCATCTAAAACAGGCTAATGGGGAGGCGGGGGCTTCGGCAAATAATTGATCTCCTCGCCACTGACAAATCATGATATTTTGCTCTATCTCGTCCCGTAATTGTTTTATCATTCGGTCACCGAGTTTGTTTTATAATTATTTGCGAAGCGATGTGCCATTTTCATGCGACAGCGATCGCAACAAGGAGAAAAGCGTGATTTCATTTACTCATGAGCAGAATATTATTTGTATCCAAACACAATTGAGCGACATTGCGAATGAGTAGACCATTATTTTTAGCCAGTTATTTGCAGGTCACGTGGTGGGTTCTCGGCCAATGATAAGGAAGAAAAATTTGCATCGAATGATAATAGTAATAATTGCTCTTTATTAAATTCCAAACAAACAAACAAACAAGCAAACATTCTCCACAAAACATCAATGCAAAGCAGTGTGTATAGTAGAGCTATATAAATTAACTACTCATTTCCGGACGGGTGGAGGGATGGCCTGTATTCTGCGGAAATCTATCGGACAGTAATGAACCATCAATTCATTAGAGTCAGTAACACTTTTCCACTATCTGTTATGAGAAGTTCCCATTATTTTTGAAACTAGTGTAACCTCTTCTAGGAAGCAGAAGCGAAACGCACTATTTTGGGCTTTTACTGTACTGCAATAGTATTTTCAGGATAATCAACTGAATTATGTAAATGTAATTTGCGTGGCTAAAAGTTTCCTATTTTGGGCTTGTTTGTTAAAATTTCTCATAGGAGTCGGAGAAAATGAATGTCAAATTTCATAAGGATTGTGAAAACACAGGTAAAATTCTAAGAATTTCATGTGTAAGATGTCATTTTGTGAAATTTGACATTAATTTATTTTATTTTCTCGGGCTCCCATGAGAAATTTTCTTTGGTGTTATTGCAGATGGCTAATTACATTTTTAGCCCTTGAAAAATGCAAAAAAGGAATGCAATATGCTGTAAATTATTCTGGTACAAAGTTTTTGTTCGCTGAAAATTTATATTACTCATTTTGCTGATGGATTCCGTCTTTCCCGAAGGAGCTCTTCAGAGATAATAAGGTTATTAAGTACAAAAGGCAGGAAATGTGAAATGACGAATACTAACTATTGCAATAAGATTACCACGAAATATATATTATGAAAGATGTGGTGAAAGATATATTCAATGTTCAAATAATTATATACAAACAGGGGATTTTGTCCCATACAGTTCTTGTAATAACGTAGATCTTAGCGGCTGTTTTGTCAACATTCCTGCAAAGTTAAGTGCGGAGTCGAGAGAAGATCACCTCTCGGATCGATGTTCTGCAGCGGTAGAGTCGTTTAAAATATTTGCACGTGCTTAAAGAAGTGAAATACCCTCAAACTTGAGACGTTTAAGTTTCCTTAGAAACAGATTGTTTCAGAGGTGTTGTTTTGTTTATCAGCGACATTGCAACAGTTGGCAACAAAACAAAAAACTTGGTTTAATTCAAATAAGATACATGTTTTGGAGTTGTCAAGGTAACACAGCAATAGTTGCCAGGAAACGTATTTACGTGAGAGTGTTGTCCTAGTAACAGTTTAGACAGCACCGAGTAAGTACTTTAGTACAGTTGGTCGGTCTCCGCTTAGAGAAGAATTCAGAAACAACTCGCTCAACTTGGAAAGGCAGGTGTTAAAAGTTCCGCAGAGAACTTGAGATCATATTAGCCATGGGTTGCTCTGCAAGCAGTTCGCTGAGTGTTCCCCGTACATCTGGCACCGCTCTTTCTATCGAGGAATACAAGACAGCGTGCGCTGCCTTATCGCAAGTGCGAATTGTGCGTCAGTTACAAAGGAGACGACCTGAGTCAGTTGGATTACCTGCAGAGGATGGCGTATTCTGGGTTTACTGGCGACCGCCTATAGGGAAGGACAAAAGTCAACGCCTGAAAGCAGCCAATTCAGGCGCCAGTATTTTGACAGAGTTAAGAGGGTGGGAGTGAGACGGAGCGCCGAATAGTTGGTTGCGAGAGTTGGTCGCTGATGGAGGATTGAGAATTCGTTAAGAGATTTTGCGGTGAACTGACTCAAGCAATCTTTTATAGAACTAATGAGACGATCTTTTTCATTGAATATAAGAACTTTTTTGCTCGGTGACCTTGTTTGACTAAGACTTCATTGTAGACGGGTAGTTCATTATAACTTTGACATCCCGGTTTTTTTTCTTAACTATGACATATACGCCTAGTTTCAAATCCGAATTTGTGAGCAAAGCTCGTTATCCCACTGTGTGTAGTGAGGTACATATTACTGTTAGGAGTGATAGCAAAGATATCAGAATTATATAACGCACCCATGGCACATGGCACATAGGACAAGTCCTCTTAAAACGCAACTAAACTAGTGAAGAAAAAAAACTTACTTTTTATTGATAGAACAGAGGTCGGACGATAGTTCTTACATTTCTGAAGTTGTGCGGGCATATTATTGTTCATCAACAAAATCACAGGACAAGAGAAAAATTAAGAGCTGAAAGTTATCGACGACCCAGCCATGGTAACTGCTGTCAATTTTAAAGGTTTGCCGGGATTTTGTCTCTCCCGTGGCTTTGCTTTGGTCTTTTTCTTTACGGAAATGTGTCCGAGTTTGAATTCTTAGCCAGTTTTAGTGTCCAACTTTAAGTGGTTGCTAGATTCGGCCCTGTATAATTTACGATAAAATCGCTAAACGCTGCGAAAATACTTTTTGATCATTGATGATGCTCTAATTGACAGAGAGAACACTAATAAAAGATGGTATGTGATTTGTTTGTCGGAAGGGTGTTTATAATTCTCATCGTTTCTATTGCTGCTATAAAAAATTGTATCGCGTAGTATAATTGTTAAGGCTAGTTTACAATCGGTCCTTGCCTTTCTGTTTGAATTTTCCGGAACGCGCTTAAAATTTCTTCTGTTTGTGGTAGTGAATACCCTCGGTTTTTAGTAAAATTTTAATGGATGGATTGTTCCACAGTCGGCATGGTTTGCGTGAAGACGGTTGCGGTTCGGGTTTTCAATTAAATATATCATGTATCATGGTGAATTTTTGAATACCTAGCTTCCGAAAATTTGCAGCCATTTGATCGGGTAAAGCCGAAAAACGAGGTTTTTTGAGTCCCACATTCCCGAAAATCATACCACAATCCAGTAGAAAGAAAGGGACTCGACAGGAGAGTAAAAAGTGAATGAGGTAAAAGCAGAATTTCGTAGAGGATGACATTTTCGTTGAATATGATAACTGATTTGTTACGATAGTCGCTTAAACCTTTAAGATACGAAGAGTGACCAACATCAATTTTCTCCCCAAAATATACATACATAATCAAGGGAAGAGGTTATGAGAAGTGGTAAAATGATCACCAAAGGTAAAATGCGTTTGATCTTTTCAGTTCTTTAAGGAAATGTATGGAGATCAGTTTGCAGAATTCGTAAGTGGATATTGAAACTTAAAGGGTTGACAAAGAATACTGTTCGCACTGTTTTGACTTAGATTTCATTCTAAATGGGAAGTTACTTGTAAATTTGACATGCTGTTTTTCTCTTCTAATTGTGGTGTTGGTAAAATTTCATCGATTGCATCTATAGTCAGCGCGGTTTGCGTAAAAACGGTTGCCATTCGGATTTGAAATATATCTGAACATAGAACTCTGTACTGTATATGTTGCACTTAGCGCTGTTTATTTTATTGTCATCAGTGAGCATAGCGAATCTCTAGTACAATAACAATTTTTGGATGGAGCTGAGTGTGATACAAGGAATTATGCAAATAAAGCAGGGTGTTATGGTCTTTGCGAATAACACTCTCCAATATCTCTTAGGTTTTTTCTCATCCTTCGACTAGTGTTTCTGTGTATTCCTGCAAGGCGTTTGACGCAGTTATTTGGCTGTTTTGTCGTCGCATAACGGTTGAAACGGTCGGACAATCTAACGCCGCAGCGCTGTTTTTTTTTCGCTTGAATCTCTGTTTTTGTTGACTATTTTGCGATTCTCGTCAATGTCGAAATGATGCAAAGAAATTCGAAATTTGCTCACCGCTAGTCGAGGGTACAGTGTAACTTTGTGTGCGAAAACTCGAAATGTTACATTCTCCCCATGCTCGACCGTCGAAAGCTATAATTTAGCATCAGAAAAAGGAAATCATCGAAGTGCTGGAGGTTCAAACAACGGTTTGGATAGTTTTGGTTCTTTTTGGCCAGAACGTGAAAAGAAAACCAGCTTCAAGCCGTGTTTTTCAAACAGTAGCCGGCTCCTAAAAAGGATAATTTAAAATGCCAAAGAAAGGGCGAGGTTGTTTTTGTCAGGAACATGGCAACGATTAGCATAAAAACATAACAAAACAGATCACATTAAGCTTGGATTTGTCATGGTAACACAGGAGAAGTTGCCAGGAAACTTATTTTTCAGGGTATGTTGTCCTAGTTACAGTCGACAACATATAAACAGGTTAAAAAGAACGGGACTGGTTCGATCGATTTAGTACTCAATTAGGGTTGACCAGTTTTGATCAATACAATTGGAATTCAGTTTAGTCATGGGTTGCTCTGCAAGCTGTTCGCTCAGTGTTCCCCGCGCATCTGGTGCCGCCCTCTCTTTCGAAGAATACAAGACCGCGTGCGCTGCCTTGTCGCGAGTGCGAGTCGTGCCTCAGCTGCAAAGGAGACGACCTGAGTCAGTTGGATTACTTGCAGAGGATGGCGTATTCTGGGTTTACTGGCGACCACCTGTAGAGAAGGACGAAAGTCAACGACTGAGAGCAGCCAATTCATTTGCCAGTCTTTTGACAGAGTTAACAGGAAGTGAGTTGGACAGCGCCGAATAGTTGACAGCAGAAGGTGGTCGCTTATGGACAGAATTTTGTAAAGATAATGTCAACAGTCGCTCCTGGCCACATAAATGCAGTTTTCAGGATAATATTTTTACTTGGTTTTTCCTTTGAACTGAGCCCTGTTAAATTTCAGAATGGTAGTCGCTCACTGAACATGATCTGCTTGGGAAGAAAGATGTGTCGTCTCAAGGAAAACTGATTCCTAAGGATAATCGCTTAATCGTTAAGATTTTCCCCGCAACTAAGTAATATTTTAGGAAGATTTTGTTGCATACGGGGAATTACCAGTAACTGAGACTGACATGCCCATTATTGCTTAATTATGACATATAGACGCCTCGTTTGAAATCGGTATTTTGTGAGCATAATTCTTACGACTGTGTGTCACGATGTAGATATTACTGTAAGAGTTTTGGCAGTATTACATGATTACACAAATTTCTTTAACATGAAGACAATCCCTTGAAAACGGAACTGAACTAGTTAAGAACTGGCAAACATATCATTTCTACATAATCCACATATTGCTGTGTACTGTGATAAGACCCCTTGGCCACGCAAGTTGTAATATGGTTATTTAAGGTCTCGTTTTATGTTTTGTGTTTTTTTTGCTTTAAATCTCCTTAGGTGTACGTAGTAAAAAATTGTTGTAAAATTTGCCTTGTGGAAAGTGTTTCTTCGTTGAATTAACCTCCACATACCAAATGACTCAGTACTCGTGAAGGTTGTCGGCTCGTAAATTATTTTCTACTATTCCTACTTTTACTGCTAGAAAACTGTTAATCTGACAGTAACTTAAATAGACGTTCAATTTGGTTCTTGCCTTTCTTATTGATCGCCCGGAACACTTCTAAAAATTCTTCCTCTTGCGCGAGAAAGCTCGAGGCGCAATTACTTGCGGTTTTGCTCACATTTTTATGAATTGCATCCACAGCGCACGGTTTGAGTTAATGCCGGTTTCGAAAATTTGTGTATTGACTTAATGTGTTCATTCTACGTAAGAGATATATTCGGTCTAAACAGTGGCTCGTTGTAATGTCATTTTCAAAATGGCATTTCGCTTTGTTGATCTTTGCTTTTTGAAATTTGTGAAATTTAGTTTAAATGCCAACTTTCTTATTTTGTCAGTTATGAGTGTTTTACTATCTTGTAGGCTCAATTACCAGCCGCTGTTCGGGAAATAAGCCCTAGAGCCGGGGGGGTACTCAACAAATGTTTATACGGGGAGGCTCCGTCCCGAGGTCCAACCCCTTACCCTTTTATGTACCAAAAGGTACCCCTTTCGTATACCTTCTATTGCCAAATGGTACCCCTTTCACATACCTTGTTTAGAACCTTGCATCCCTGTTAACTGCTGTAAAAGCGTTGTCTTTTAAATAGTAATCAATCACAAAAATATAACGTTTTCTCGACTTTATGAAGCCATAAAATTCATCTGTTAGCCCTTTTGGGCCCTTTCACAGATCCAAATGACATATTTCCCTACCCTTTTATTTACTTCAACAAGTGAAATCCCTACCCTTTCTTATACCTGAAGCCTGAAAAAATACCCCTTTCGGCGGAGTCTCCCCTTATAGGCCATCATAGGGAGTACCCCCCTTCCCGGGCCCTAGGGGCGTACCCGAGGGAGCGGCGGAAATAAGCCTTACCATCTTGAAGAATTGAATCATTCTTGTATCTTTGAAATCTCCTGCTCATGTGCTATGCGTGCCATTCCACTAACTTTGAAGAAAACTAAGAGAGTACATACATGTTCAGGCTAGTTTTAAATTTGATGTCCCCAGATTGCTACTAATACAAATTTGCAATCGTAATTTTGATTGAGTTTCTCTGAAATACATAAGTAGTAGCGAAACGCCATCGATGACCGAAAATGATTAGATTGTAAAGTGATAACGTTCTCCAAATGGTTCGTCATATTTTATTATTAGAGTTTTTGTTTTGGTTTTAGCTTGAATTCAATATCGTTAAGTATGTTAAGAAGGCCGTCTATTTAAGATGTTGTCATGAAAAACTTATGAAATTTTTACCTAGAACGATGAAACTGCTGCCCTCATCTCTTAAGACGTTTACGACTGAAACGTTTCTCTTGAGGCATGATTGGCAGATCTAACTTTTCAATCCTGGACAAATTCCTATTGTGTGGCTATTCACCCGTTAAATGTAAAAAAAAAAAAGCACTTCATTTGAGTGTTAATGTATTTAGCACGAACGTACTAATTGGGGACACTATATTTTACGTCTCCAACTGGAGACGGGAACGTCATTTTACGTGGTCATCCGAGTCACGCGAGGGTCTAGTCTGTTGCAGTACAAAGGAAGTACCTTCATTTCTCAGTTATTTTAAGACCCTGAGTATTGGTCCGGCCCTGGGAATCGAACCCGCGACCTCCCGTTCTGCAGTCAACACGGTCTACCGACTGAGCTAACACTGCCGCGTTTGTTATACTTAAGAGTTAACCTGGTAGTTGTAGTTTTATTTTCATACGAATAAAAATGACTTTTATTTAGACTTTTTTGGGGGTGTGAATGGAGTTGAAGTTGTCTTTGACAGTGCGATGGAGGCAAAGTGTTGTTGACTTGAAAGTGCAGGGAAAATATTTTCAAAGCTAAAGTCGCGTTAGTTTTGGTGATAACTAATTAAATGCTTGAATGAAAAAAAAAAAGGTTGTTGTCTCTTTTATTTTAAGTTGTTTTAATTATCCAGTCGAAAGTGTACAATATTCTCTACTCTTGGTGTGGAACGGTTTTATTATATTATTGCCTTCAGTTAGGACGGAAACTCTTAAGTATAACAACATAGAATAGCAAAAAAGGATGAATGTTTCACGGGACTTCCAAACAGTGATAGTTGGGTTGAAGAAAACTGAGAGGCGAAGACGATTCCCTTTCTGCGATTGTTTGGATAGTACAACCCCAGACCATGTATCAGACCGTGCAGTTCTTGAAAGCGGATATAAAACAAGCTCTTCTAGTTCTTCTAGTTTACATCACTATTTCAAAAACAAATCAACAACTTAGATCTTTCGCCAGATTTGGATTAACCAAGTTATGGAATAGTATCCCCGCTGAAATACGCCAGTATCCAAAAATGCCTTAGAAAAAAAATATGTTCATGACTATGTTATCTCTTTTGCAAACTGACGAAGTTTACTTTGAAGTACCTATTATTCTCAAAAAAATGAAAAAACCTAGTGAAAACTGTAAAAGCCTTTGGTCTTTTTCTCGTTGCCATATTTTATTTTGATTTAAATCTAATTTCTGCTTTCTGCAAGTTCTTTGTAATTATTATTACATTTTTTTCCCTTTATCTCTGAGACATTTATATATTTATCTATTTATTTATTTATTTATTTATTTAGATTACCTATCTAATTGGCCTCTACCCTCCTAGATTAACCCTGCTATTTGCCGGTAGCGAAGTTTGTAAATTCTCCTCTAAAGTAATGAATAAACTTGAAATAAACTTGACATATTTCGCCTAATTGGAATTCAGACCAGATGTAAAATCTGTAAAATCCTCGACGCCTACGACCTTCTTCTGTATGGCCGTGTAGATGGACACAGGTTTCTCTTCCCACCATGGTTTATGTAATATATCAAGCACGCGAAGAAGTGCTCTTTCTGATATCCGGCACACATCGATAAGTGGGTAAAAAACCCTGGCGCAGCCGAGTTTTTTAAAACACCGTCTTCGAGGTTTCTGGATATCAGATAAAACACTCCATCCTGTGTTTTATATAGCTTCGCTAATGATCAACAACTCCTTAGATATCCCGATACCGGCACACATCGATAAGTGGGTTAAAACCCGTGGCGCAGCCGAGTTTTTTACAACACCGTCTTCGAGGTTTCTGGATATCAGATAAAACACTCTTTCCTGTGTTGATATAGCTTCGCTAATGATCAACAACTCCTTAGATATCCCGATACAAAAGTTCGCATGTTTTCAATAAATTACGATCCAACATTCAAACTTTCTGCAAGTTACTGTTTCCCTTTGTTTTCTCTTTGCGCATCATTGAGTAGTTTAAGAAGGTTTTCGTTCTGGTGAAATTTCGTGGGATTCAATGGCTATTTAAAGAGGCACTGTCAGTGGAATTTTTGTCAAAGCTTTGTTAAAATTATCAGCGGGTAATCACTCTTTCCGCAACTCTAAAGGGATAATTTTCAAACAAAGCTACGGAAATAAAGCAAAAATGTGTTATTTTTAGCAATTAACTGAGACACGATTAAACAGGTTGAAAAAGTTAAGCGTGTTTTTTCGCCTTTGTCCTGTGTAAGACAACCGTAAATGATTGCATTGCATTTATAAAGTACGTCTTTACAAAACTGGAACATGTTTAAATTGTTACAAATACATCATTGGATTTGTCTATCTCTCATGACAGTGCGTTGAATAGTTCAATATTATCCAAAGCACTGTCACGGTACAGGGTCCTAAAATAAGGAAACGTGCTTGCTCAATTACTTCAAGAAAGCACTTGTGGCGACCCTTGTCGTGGCGCGTGCTTTGATTTGTATCTTTCCTTTTGCTTTTTAATATGCGGTTTTACTCCATGACAATATCGTTCAATATTTGTCATTCTTTCCGTGCGCGCGTGTTTCTTTTTGCAAATGTAGAAATGGTCGTGCAGGCTGTATATTGTAACTTTTGTTTGCAGTCAGCAAATTCATTTTCCGTGACGCGGTTTTACATTTCAATAGTAAAAATAGAAAGTGTATCAATTTGGCCTCTTGTCTTGGTATTTCATGGCACTTGGAAAAAGTTAGGAATCATTCAGCTGCGTTTCACGTATTCCACATTTTTCTGTGCTGATGACTGCCTATCATTCTTTATGCCAATATAATGCATGTCCCGCCTGTCTTTAATTTTTGTCTTGTCTTGTCTTTTTTTTCAGTTTCATGTCAAGTACATACTTTAGCATTCTTTTTTGTTTTTTAAATATAACTCACAGGCCCAAGCAAATTCAGCATTCCTTGTAAATAGTTTGCATTCTTAAGTTTTTGATATAAGCACAAACCTTTAAAGTGTATCAAACGTTTTACCAGAGGAAAGGTGTGTTGCGGATTTGACAGTTGCGATCTTTCAATTATGATGAGTACATGGCCAATTCATGTGGAAGTGTGCTTGGTTAATACCATCGTAGATCAGGTTAGTTTAAAGCTTCTAAAATGAACATTTAATGGGGTAGTATCACGAACAATTTTAAAGGTTTTTGTCTAAACCATGGCATTGAAATGAAAAACACTCGATCATGCACAAAACGGACTTAAAACAAGAAGAGAAAGACACTACTTTATCCCTCTTGTTGCGGGCAAGTCATTATCAATTGTTTCTGAATTAGGAGTGATGTTTCTTAAGTAGCAAAAAACTTCAAAACTTCGGTCCAGTTTTTTCAGCGTACTTCCTTTCTATCTGTCAAGACCCACCCTTTAAGCGTGGCCAGGTCGCTCTTAAATTTCCTTGACCGCAAACGCTTCTGTCGGTCTTCCAAGTAATACTAATTGTCATCGATAAAGCACTTTAATTGAGATCGAATTGAGTCAGGACGATTGTGATTCAAGAAATGGTGCTATGTATTAAATTCTGATTTTTGATGCAAAAGAAAACTTTTCTTTTGATCAACCAAACAACGAAGGGTGAGCGAAGGGTTTCCCGTTTAGTTTCCAAGGAACTTTTTTTGAGTCGTTTGAGGAGTAATATACAAAGATTAGGTTTGATCACCTGAGTTTACAGGATAAATTGGGCACCATAGCGGTATTGTGAAGTTGACGTCTGACGATTCCGGCTGTAAGACCTCTTGAGGCAATACTTTCATAAAATAATATTCGTTATTCAGCATTTGGGAAAATGAAATGTGTTGTCTATTTTTTACTCTGGCCTCTCCTGGGGGTGTAAGGGTTTAAAGCTTAGCTACAATGTCTTCGATTACGTTGGCCTGTAACAGTAGCGTGTAGGTTCGGTATGTGTCCGCAGTCTAAATAACAAGACTCTCTGTCTCTCGAAACGGCTGCTTATCTTAAACAAGAGATGCATCTATTTTTGGGGTGGAAAACAAGGTCTTTCAACGTTTCCATCTATTAATTTGCGGTTGTCATATAATATATGCACTATCTCAAGTGCCTATTTTTGGCTTTATGCTCAGCTGTATTTTAAAAGAATGAAAAGGTATTATTGAAACATGACTGTAAGATAATCGTGCGGCGCATGTTGCTGTGTAATGATTACTAGCATTTGGTTCCAGTTGAAGTTGGATCAAATTGTTTTGTGTTATGTTTCCTGCAGCCCAAGCGGTTGAAGGCAACATCCTCTTAATGAAGCGGGGTAGATATAGGGATGTTTTTTCTTGCAATTTTTGTGTTAAAATTTTCTAAGAAAGAAGTGTACCAAGAACCAAGAATCCGATTTTTGGAAACAGCATGAGTTCCCTCTGACTAAGTGACAGTAATGCCGTTCAATCAGGTGTTAAGTTAAGGGCGGGAAAATACTATTCTGAGTTCACAATCGCGAGACTTTCATTGTGTCTTTCCACTTGATATACATAACATCGAAATGATGTACGTAAAGCATTCGATAAGGCATTCGATCTACAAAGCGTTCGATAAGCTCTGTCACCGGCATCTCATCACAAAGCTTAGGAGAAACGGTATATATGGAAAGAACATTAAATGAATAAGGTCATTCCCAACTAATAGGAAGCAACATTGACAAGCTAAATGTCTTCAGAGGATGTAGAAGTGCTCTCTGGCGTGCCGCAGGGCCCAGTTTTGGGCCCGTGCCTGTTACTTCTTTACATAAATGACCTTCCTGAATCACTATCTTCTAAACTTAGACTATTTTTTATGTCACCATTGCATATCTCACCATAAACTCTGAGCTAGACTCATACATTCTTCAAAACGATCTTGAGAAGCTAGCTGAATGGGAGCAAATGTGGAACATCCGAGTTGCCTCATTATCAAAGCGAGGCTTGGTACGCAGTCGAGCCGTGAAAAACAAACAAGGCAACAAACAAACTCTTAGGAAGCCAATTGACGCTTTACCTGTCCGCGTCTATCCTTCAATAATTCGTTTCCGAGTTGCGTCATTATCAAAGCAAGGCTTGGTACGCAGTCGAGCCGTGAAAAACAAACAACAACAAAAAAGGGAAGCAATTTGAGGTTTTGTTCACTAGTCTCCACATGAGGTACTTGTACGAGGAATTAGTTTAAAATTTTTAAAAATACATATCTTTGGTGATTATTTCCGTCGTTCTTGGAATAATGTTTCATTCGACAGTAATGTGAAATCAAACGCTGATCGCTACAAGAGTTTAAAACGTGCACGTGGTTTGGCGAACGGGCAAATTATAGGAATGAATTACAAGCTCAAAAGTAACGATATTCTTCGTCGTGGGCAGTCGCGTTTTTGCATTGCGGTAGGTCATATTAGTTAGAATTTGACGATAAAATAATCAAAGTCGGCTTAATGGTTGTATTGTCTGGTGGGCAAAAGATAACATTTAAAGTTTAAGAAAAACGGATTGTCAAAATCGCAAATCACTCCTTGACTTGGGTGTCTTATTATCTTGTTATGGTTTAGCCTTTGTGGGGTGAAACTGCTATCTCACCATTTTTTGGTTAATGGGCTTGGCCTTGCAGTTTCGAACAATGGAATACTTTCAAAGTCGTCGAAATATTTATTGTATTCCAAAATAACCTGTTACGCCTTTATAAGAACAAGCTTTGGCTAACTCTTTGGAAATCTCAATATGTATGAATGTGTTATTTTTAATGATTGTAGTCATATGTTAGCTATTTAGGTGCGATTTGGTGTCCAGATCGTTTCTTGTTTTAAGTTTGGAATTTGCCCTTCAGTGGTCATGTAAAAGTGATATGTGCATGGCCCCGTTTTCTTGTTTACGGTTTTACCATTTCACTTTAACTTCATGCTGTATAAGTAATTAAAGAAAAGAATGGCAAGGATGGAAGACACTTACACACATCACATTACGTCAGTGTAGTCTGAAAACGTTGTCTTAGAAAAATGCTAAAATGAGAAAAGGAAAATGTCAAGCGGTAATTAATTAGGCTTACTTACAAACCACCGAAGGCTGCGTTCATTTGCGAACGGGCGGGTTTTTTAGGCTTAAAAACAAATTGCAAGTGCGACGGCTGTACGCGTATGTTGCAAATGAATTCACCCTATTGTGGTTTACTAGTAAGCCTAATTAATTCCCATTTGCCTTTTAACATTTTTCATTTTTCCTTTTTAGGATTTTTCTGTCAGTGTTATTGCAATTAGGTGAATGTCAAGTTTTTTTTTGTATTAAGGAAACTGCGTTGAATTGATTTTGGTTTGCATTTCCTTATGAAACTTTATCGCGCTTATCCCAACTCGTTCAATTCGTCAGATGTTGGCAAATTTTTCCGGAGTTGAATTCTAAAAGACTGCATCAAAGTTCAGGAAGAGAAAAAGAAAGTCGTTGTCTTGTGTAGCGCAGTTTTTTTGTGGCCATTCACAGAGCAAGTCGCGGGCAAGAAACTAGAGAAATCGTTCGTTACCTCGGTGACACGTTTATATAGGGTTCTAGAAAATTTCAATTTCCTTTTTGTTTTACTGAAAAACAAATAAACATGGAAAGGCGGTTATTTTCTTTTTGAATTAACACGGGTTTTTACAGACTCAAAACCAATACAACCAAATAATAAGTGCCAACACAAAATTCTACTGTTAAATTTCTTGTAAACGGGCTCATTTCATCCGAGAAAAAAGTGTTAGAAGAGGTACTAAATAAATATTCCTTTGTGACAGAACTAGCTGAAAGGTAAAATTTGAATGAAAACTTTCATCCACTTTTTGTAATGTTGAACTGAAAACCAAAAATAGTGCCATGTGAAAGTACTGCTGACGAGGTTTCATTTGAATGGTAACAATATAGGATTTCATCCAGACTTAAAAGTTAGAACTACATACAAAATAAGAAAGCACCATGTGACAGTACTGCTGAAGAGGTTTCATTTGAATGGTAACATCACAAGATTTCATCCACAGACTCAAAAGTCAGAACTACTTACTAAATAAATAGTACCATGGGACAGTACTGCTGAAGAGGTTTCATTTTTGAATCCACGGGTTAGAACCACCCCACCATCAATCGTTGCTATTTTCATTTCAATTTTTCATCCACGGACTCATATGAAAAAATGCTCGTCGTCTTTAGAACCACAAAACGCCATCATATTTAGCAGTGAAGGTCTTGACTCCATCATTTGTTGTATTTTTTTTGTCTCTTTTGCTTGGGCCACGCCCAAATTTTCAGTTTTTCAAAATTTAATACCCCTTTATCTCCCAAGAGTTCAGATTCTATGGGTATTCTTTAAACGGCAGATGATCCTAGACAGTAGGTTACGTGTGCAGTGTCGTTGCGAGGTCAAGATAGAGTGAAATTTCTTGAAATTTACTATACCTCGTAGCACAGATTAAAATTGGCAGGGTCGTTTATCCTTAAAACCCCCCGTTTAATCCGAGCACCAAAAACTGATTTCCTCTATCAGATTAGTCGTGCGTTTGGATCAAAATTAGCGCTGGGCTTTTGACTGAAATGTTAAGAACTGAATAGAATGTACAAGAACACGGTGTATTTCCGTCATGATATTCCGGTTCAGAAATGTTGTCTCCCGTTGAAGACTTTAAGTCTGTAAATTTTGCGGTGTAATACACCTTCTTCCTATTCGACTTCCAGGCGAAATTCCGGACGTTTTTGAAAAGTGGTAAACTTCGAGCAGCATTTCTACCATTTCTTTGGCATATTTTAAAAGTAAAAGGGCTGAAAGTGGATATTTAACTTGTTGCGAAAGAATGTTTAACGCTTAAGAATACAAAATTTCAAGTTGTCAATATCAAGTGCGAATTTCAAAAGTCACAGTTGTGTGGGTTATATGGCATATCGACTAAATGCAATGACGACGTTTAGTCGTCGAAACCGCATTTTGTGTTTTAACGTTATGTTACTTCAGTTATGTTTAACTGAAGTCTGTCTCATGGTTAAGTGTTATTTCTAATGATTTTTCCCTAGCTAAGAAGGCTGTTTCGAAATTTATCACTTTCCGGTTTCGCAATGTCTACAATCGACAGTGATGATGATGATGATGATGATGATGATGACGGTGATGATAATGATGATAAAAATAATAGTGATAATGATAAAGTTTATAATTATATTAATAATATTAAACATAATAATAAAATAACAAAACTTCTTTAGCGCCGATATCAATAGTCGCTATTTTCATTAGTGCTTAAAAAGTAATAATAAACATTCCCCGGGGCTTTATTTTTAAATATTTTGAATAAAATGGGCGTTTCAAACTCGATTGGCTTAGAGCAGCCTTATCGTTGGAAGTTTTGCTCAACGTATTTCTTTTTTCCAAGTACAAAGCTGATAAAACGATTTAACGGAGGGTTTTAATGTTACCAGTTTGGGGGGCAATTTCTTACATGGAGGGGGGAACCGGAATTTTACGGTATAAATAAATAATGAAAAACAAGTACAATGGTAACAACGACAACAAACTGATAAAAATAATGAAATTAAAGCGGGAACCATTGTACTAACAAAAACAAGTACACTTAGGCAACAAACAGAAAATTGAAATAGAGCGATATAGTCATATCACAAAGCAGAAGCAGAAGGATTAGTTTCCATTGTCCAATTTTCTTAGAATCAGTCGTCCAAACGTGGTGTTCAGTTAGGTTCCAACTTACAGTAAGTTCTAGAAAGGTTTACGGCGAGTCGTTTCGTCCAAAAGGATATTATTCGAGAACGCACCTAGGTCTTTTTCGTCTGTTCTCGAGTGAACGATCGTTTTTCCTGCACTTTTGTCATAATTGCTTGTTCTTGTTGAGCTTAAATCTTTTTTCAGACTTCTCGCAAGAAAATAAAAGAAAAAAAATAAATAAAAAAATAGAAAAGATAAAATAAAATAAAATAAACCCGAGACAAGGGTTTGCATAAAACAAGACCCTAAGATACGTTGTAGTTTATAAACTCTTTCCCTAGAAAAAAAAGCAAAATATTTCTTGTGATTTCTAGTCGCAAAATCGTGTCCACGAAGATCTACCGTAATGAGTTCTTGTTTTGCAAAAATGCTTTGCAAAATACGGAGTTTTTCGCTTAAAATGTATGATAAAATTGACTCACCTTCTTTGTAACGTTTTCCATGTTTCAGCCGACGAAGGAATTAAATTAAACTTGTCCCTTGCGTGATTAGCGCGCGAAAAGCCAAACAACTTGACGCTACAACCATGTTTACCTACTCTCATGCAAACACTGCTCTCGGCCAATCAGAGCGCGCGTACTATCTTAGTTATTTTATAAAATAAAATAAACAAGCAAACAAGACCCTAAGATACGTGTAGTTTCAGGAGAAAATATTTCTTGTCATTTCGTTCAGAAAATTGCAGGTGACAGTTCTCTGGGCCAGTTGAGAACCCAAAAGAACAATATATGAGTCAAAAGAACAATATATGTCGAATTGGTATTCGCTCAACCTTGGACGAATCTCGAAGTGTGTGTTTTGAGACAGAAAGGTTTTGATCGGTGCTTTCGTGTGGTGCTAAATATTAAGCTGTAGAAGGTGAGGATTTGGTGGCTACTTAGAAAATCCAGCGGAGAAGATAACGTATCAGTGGAAATCCCCCAAGGCTGACTCGGCCTTGCTTAACCTTTTCTTTCCTAAAAGTCAAAATTCAACAACGTTCCCAAATTTTATTGCATAAAATTCTGAAAAACAAATTATGCCATGTGAAAGTACTGCTGAAGAGGTTTGTTTTGAATGGTCATACCGTACGATTTACCGGGGGGTACTTGGGTTAGTTTTTGCTGAGTATGTGCCGCTGCCTCTGAGAGCCCCTACCCCATTATAGTCTAATCTGTGGCCAATTATAGACCCCATCTTAGTCTTTTTTGGGGAAGTATGTAATTTTCGCGATACCAACTTTAGTCACTCCATTTTAATGAATTGACCCATTTTTTAGATTGAATGAAGAACACTTTACTTTTCATCTACAGTACAACCATTCTGGTACGTTTACTAACCGTAAATATGAAGAACTGTCTTACCCTCAAAAATCCGAAAATGTGCGACCCCATTATAGTCAATCCAGTCGTGAAAATGTAACCCCATCCAGCGGCACATCCCCATTAGCCTCTTATAAGGAAATATCCCCCCCCCAACCCCCTCCGTGGAGGATTTAGTCCACAGACTCAAAAGTTAGAACCAAGTTAAAAGACGCCATCAATCGCTCTGTGAGTGAAGGGGTTAAAACCCTTATTATGAACTGGTGCATAAAGCTATTAAAAGTGTCATTGACTAAGGACGGATAGTGAATCAAAGTTCGCATAGTTAGGCCGACTTTTTTTTTAATCTTTGACAATGCCATTTGGGAATAACCGCCCGAAATACTTGAAAGGTGGTTTTCTCACGCCTTAGAGAATAAATTGACGACTTTGTTCAAAATAGTTGTTCAAAAGTCATTTTGTACATTAGCCAGTGTACAAAAAACAAAAAAAACAAAAACAAAAAACATGGGAAAGTTATGGTGAACTTCCCCCTCAAACCCTCGAATGCAATAATCATGTGTGACAGTTATCCACTTGAAGACACTTGTGCAGAAAATTTGGCATCGTTACAATTTAAATTTTGGTGAATTCAAAAGGAACTTCTTAAGAAAGAGGTAGTTATCCGGAAGGCAACTGGCCAGGGAAGTTCGTGCATGCCCACAGCAGGTGACGAAAGCTGTCATCCGATATTTGGCGTTTGATAAGTCGGGATATTGCGTTCTTGATTACAGCTGCTTTAAGCCCTCGCAAACTTACCAGATTATTTTCAGTCTGTCGATAACATGATGCTTTTAGATTTGTACGCAATATGATGCCCACATCATAACGCCGGTGTAAACGTTAAGAAGAGAAATTCGCCACGTTTCTCGACGAGTATAAAATGGAATCGTGTGAAAGGCGAGTTTGTTTGAGCTCGCAAAGTTAAAATAAGGAAAGATGATCGTGAAAGGCTTTTTGTCCGCCGCGTGGAGAGTTGGTATCGAGGGGTCAACCTTTCTTATTCTCATTGCCTTCACTGTTTTCCATTTGTTCAAGGTTAGTAGTTTCATTAATCCTTGTATTTCGTTCATCGAGTTTTTAAGCATTGTAAGTTTAGCTCTATTGACCGATGTCTTGTATACATCGGTATTTGAAAGTTAGCTGTTGTTAACATGTGTTAGAACAATACTAACGAAATAAAGAGACGGTCTGTTAGTTATTTCAAATTGGTAGGAGAATTTGGTTATGTTATTTGTTTCTCCTCGAAGGAATTTTGCCCTTTCCCGTCCGGAATTGCGTCGACTCGGCATAAGAGACAAAAATAGAAGTGATCCGTTTTGCTGTATAACCCCGGCATAATGTCTTCGATCCAAGAGTAGACTGAATTGAACGCCTCCTGCTGGTCATAATTTTGTCTTTTAATTTTATTTTACCCAATTCGAAGATTAATTCTTGTTATTTATTTTTGGGAACTCTTAAAGGCGCATAATCAAATTTTGCATTCGAACTAATAATTTTTTTTATAATCATGCTACTTCCGGATTGTCGCTGATTAAATTAAAATCTTTTTTTGCCTTAATTACTGCATACCTGTCTCTAATTCGCGTAGTATTTTAATTTTGTTTTGGTTGACTCCAATTCAAAGCATTTTGACACACAGTCTGCCATTAATTTGTAACTATCAATAATGTGTCTGAAATTCTCGTAATAGCTATTAAACAATACAATTATGCGGTTGTGCTGTTATGCCATATAAGGTGTTTCTGTTGACATCTTATAATACTGATTTAACCGCAAAATCTTGCAATCTCTTCATAACTTTTATGGTGTTGTATTATAGTGTAGTATATTGTGTCTAACGTTGACCACTTCAAACTAAAACTTTGAACAAGTGTTACTTTGTTAAAACGTGATGATGTTCAGCATGTAATAAAAAGCTATTTGCTCTCATTTGTGCCCTTTGTCAAAGCGGGGGCCTTTCTTTCTACTGTTGGGAAATCGTGGAAGAATTGAACTTGATTTTTCAGAACGGAGCTGACTGAAAGGCCGACAAAATCAGTAACCGTATGATCCAAAAGTTGTTTGTTTGCGGTGAAGATGTAATTTTGTTGGAGACACTCGTGACTCGCTCTATGATTTGACACAATTGTTTTGATCTCCTATTTTAGTCATTGATACGTAAGTTGAGATTTTTCCTAAAAACATGCACCGATAATGTAAACAATACTTGCTCAAAATGTATGAAAGGTTACGGTACGTCTCTTCTTTTAAAAGTGGTTAGTTTTAACCTTAAGTGCTTCTCGTATTCTTGTGAATGTTCGCGATAACTTAACTTCGCTTTTTTAGGTCGGAAATATGGCACGTAAAAGCTCTCAACACAACCATTAATTTGCTCATGGCAGTGATTCGGGAAGTCTCCAGAGCCTGAAATGCCAAGTGCAGACTAAACCCAAATTTTCGTAGACCACGTTTTTACTGCAAACTTTAACTAAGAGGAGGGCAGTTGATGTGATGTTTCGATTTAGAAAACGGGATGCTCTTGAAGTGGACGTATTTTTTGTGGTTTTGCTTTGGAGAACCACCTCGCGTGCGTAGAGAAAACAATAGAATTATATCAAATACGTATCAAATAATTTCCTTTCAGTGCTTGTATCCTTTTTTTGATCGGTCACTTTTGTTCTTGTTGACGGTTTGTTTCGTAACGTGATAAGATTGTTATAACGTTTGTTCTCCTCTCCAAGAAAAAATGATGCCCACTCATTTCGGTTATAATCTAGTCGTTTTATGATACAAAATTTTCCAAATACCGTAACCAGTTCTTATTGTTTCACTGAATTTCATACGTTTATGTTTATTCTCTCTTTTTAAATAATCTTCAATGAGTTTTGCCTCCAAAAATGCGGAAAAGAAGCACGTAAAAGAAGAGGAAACTCATGATTAAAATCACACAGCAGTCGAGTCGTGCATTCGTTGAGTATGCCATAGCCGACTGATTGTGGCACGTTATTTGTCTTTTTTGTGGATGTTAAGCTATCTGTGGTTTCCGGACCTACGTATTAATCAATTTGTTTTTGTAACGGGTCGTCCTTGGATGTATTCGGCATGAATTAAGATGGATCGTTTTTTTTTATCGTTTGAGAAAATCTCCCTAAGTGTGCGATGTGTTTTGACTTTTGAGTTTGTGGAGAAAATTCCATAGTGTCACATGCAAGTGAATCCTCCACTGCAGCGCTTTCGCGTTTCACTATTCGTTTCTAAGCGTTGCGTAGAAAAATAATTAGGCAGTATTCATGCTAGTAATGAGCTAGGAGGGTTAAAAAGACACTTGAAAAGGTTTTACGAATCGTGACGCAAGAGAAACAAAGCCTGTAGCTAATCCTCTTATAACATCTATATCTCTCGCAACAAAGAATTTTCGTACCGGCGAGCAATCTCTAGAGTGCTTAAACAGAACTGCTGCACCTCTCCAACCCCGAACACACCTTTCCTTCCCGACCAAGCACACTGGGTGAACAATTTTTAAAACTGTGTTTGGCATGTAATGCTTTTTGAAAAGTGCGAGTCAAGGTTATGAGACGTAATGAATATGCCCTGTAGGATGACTGAACTGCTTAAGTTACGGCTAAACATTTCGGTGTTATTGACAACACAGCCTGTTTAGCAGGTTTTGCGCAATGACTTATTTTTGTTCTTAAAGCTATAACGCGTTTGTCTAATTTTTCCAGACACCTTTATGTAAGAGACGTACTTATTCTAAGTAGCCCGAAGCTGCTAAAATGAACTCTGAGGAAAGTTATCTAAAAGTCGTGTATCAGGGAAAATAAATCAGCGAAAAGTACTTCAGGAGAGGACTTCTTATTAACTTCATGTAAATTGCTACACAGTCTAAACACTGCTCAACACAGGGTTTTTTTTTCTGTCGTTAGCCCTTTAGCTTTGAAGTATTAAAATTTATTTACAGAATGAAAAGCCAAATCAGTTGATATAAACTAAACGTTTAGAGCACCACTTGACATTTTTTGTTATCCATTGCTCCAAGAATTTTCACTTGAATACGTGCAAGGTATACGGTGTCAGCCTTGAAACGTCAGAACACAATTCCATGCTCTTTTATCTTGTTGAATAACTGTATTTACTTTTTCCAACAACGTGCACTCTTATATGCAGCAACTTTTGTGTCACATGCTATATAACAACTTAAAGGTTTCCCGCCAAACCTCTCGGGCTCACAATGTCAGCACTGAGAAGTTGGAGCAACATTCGATGATTTTATGTTCTAGAAGGTCTTGAATTGTTTTTATAATCGACAATCCTAGAATATGCTAAACTGACTGATTGTCACTTGAACCCAGTTTAATGGCCTTTAATAGCTGCTAGGAGTTTTTACTTAGCTCAGTGGTTGAACATTTGCATGAGCAACCAAGAGGTCTTGGTTTAAACTTCTGTTGGAAGAACTCGTAATTCATTTTTTTTTCGAGTCGCCTGTGTCAGTAACAGAAAAAACATCGTTTTCCTTATTTTCGTCGTTTAAAATTCATTTTGAGAATTGTTTTGTTGTTTTGGGCCCCTGATTTAATGTCTTTTCCTTGAGACAAATGTTGTTCCGTTCCGTCTGGTCATTTCGGAAGAAAATAGTAATGTCAACAAAGAATTCTGATATGACGAATAAAGTTGATTGTGTATACTTTCTTTTATTAGTTTAATACTAGCTCGTAAACTACATTAGTGGGGCAGAAGTCTTTGTTGACAAAAACACGACCATGCACAAACAAAGAGCCACCCTTAAAACTCTTATGTCCCTTCTTTGACTGCATTCGACCCTTTGCATGAGAACTCATTTGTTTTTCTTTCTTTTATCTGAAATGAAAACGATCTTTAAGACTTGCTCTTGTTTGTTGTCACAACATTACTAAGTATAAGACCTGTGAGGCTGATATCCAACGTTGCTGAGGTGAAAGAACATGTTTTCGTTTACCGTATGTCTCTTATGTGCATTTTGCCACTAGATATAGAAACACTACCTTGTAGAAGACAATTTAAAAACAAATTTAGACTGTTACATCTGTCAGACTATCTTTGATCTACCTCTCGTAGTGTATTGCTTGTTTTATACCCCACGACTTCAGATAGATGTCATTTTTGGGAGTTGGCTTTAAAAACTCTTAGTTACTTCAACTTCCTTCACTTACATATCTTTTAGCTTCTGTTATCTATGTGCCTGTCTTAAGAAATGTTATCTTTTATTTTTTTTTATCAACCTCTGTATTTCAATTGGAAGTGAAATAAATCTGACTTGACTTGGACTTTGATCAAACAGGACGCACGTTACGGAATCGTTTGATCGTAGGGTTCTTCTCTTATCCTGGTCACTAGTTATGTATGATACGAAGTTCCTATTGTTGTTACTGTGGACAGAATCCTATAGGGTGATCACTTGTTTTAACTACTTGTTTTCACGAATTGAATGATTCTTGTATCTTTGAAATCTCCTGCTCATGTGCTATGCGTGCCACTCCACCGTACATACATACATACTAACTTTATTCAAGATGTAAACAAGCTTATTTACAGGAAAAACAATATTTATCTTAAAGGAAGTTGAGAGGTTAGCCCTATATTAGAACTCCCAAACAGAAATAGAAAATGCTAAATAAAAACATCAAATACAATACAAGTATTCAAAAATCAAGTCCTTAATGAAAGGACAGTTCTAGTTTAAAATTTATTAAATCGATAATGATGAAGCTTATTTTTAAAATAATGAAGGCTTTCAGGCTCTACTATGTCTCTTGGAAGATAGTTTCGTTTTGAAACTATTCTAATAAAAAAAGAATATTTGTAACAATCGAGTCTTGCGCTTTTAACATACAATTTGAAGGGGTACACTCAGCCTATGTTTAAATTTGATGTCCTCAAATTGGTGGAAAACTTTGCGGTAATAATACAGATTTGTAATCGTAATTTTGATTGAGGATCTCTGAAATACATACGTAGTAGCGAAACGCCATCGATGACCGAAAATGATTAGAGATCTAAAGGGATAACGTTCTCCAAATGGTTCGTCATATTTTATTATTAGAGTTTTTGTTTTGGTTTTAGCTTGAATTCAATATCAGTAAGTATGTAAAGAAGGCCGTGTATTTAAGATGATGTCATGAAAAACTTATGGAATTTTTACCTAAAACGATGAGACTGCTGCTCTCATCTCTTAAGACGTTTACAACTGAAACGTTTCTCTTGAGGCATGGTTGGCAGATCTAACTTTTCAATCCTGGACAAATTCCTATTATGTGGCTATTCATCCTTTAAATGTAACCTAGCAGTTGTAGTTTTATTTTTATACGAATAAAAATGACTTTTAAATTTTATACTTTTTGGGGGGTGTGAATGGGGTTGAAGTTGACACTACGGTGCACGCAAAGTGTTGTGGACTTGAAAGTGCATGGAAAATATTTTCAAAGCTAAATTTGCGTTACTTTTGGTGATAACTAACTAAATGCTTGAATGAAAAAAAAAGGATGTCCGCTTTATTTTATTTTAAGTTATATTAATTATGCGGTCTAAAGTGTACAATATTCTCTACTCTCGGTATTGAACGGTGTTATTGTATTATTGTCTTCAGTTAGGAAGGAAGCTCTTAAGTATAACAACATAGAATAGCAAAAAAAGGATGATTGTTTCAGGGGACATCCAAACAGTGATAGTTGGGTTGAAGTAAACGAGGCGAAGACGATTCACTTTCAGCGATTGTTTGGATAGTACAACCCCAGACCATGTATCAGACCATGTACTTCTTAAAAGCAGATGTAAAACAAGGTCTTCTAGTTCAAGGGACTTTTACATCACTATTTCAAAAACAAATCAACAACTTAGATCTTTCACCAGATTTGGATTAACCAAGTTACGGAATAGCGTCCCCGCTGAAATACGTTGTTGTCTCTTTTGCGAACCAACGAAGTTGACTTTGAAGCACCTATTGTTCTCAAAAGAAGAAAAGAAACCTAGTGAAAACTGTTAAAACCTTTAGCCTTTATCTCGGTGCTAGATTTTATTTTGATTTAAATCTAATTTCTGCTTTCTATATATTATTATATTTTTTTCTCTTTATCTCTGAGAAATTTATATATTTATTCTTTTATTTATTTAGATTTTCAGCGTATTAAAACCTATCTAATTGGCCTCTACCCTCCCAGATTAACCCTGCTATTTGCCGTTAGCGCATTTTGTGAATTCTCCTCTAAAATAATGAATAAACTTGACAGATTTGTATGTGATTTGTGCTCTGTTATGGCAAGGAGACAGCTGAGGAGATCGTGATCGCTTTTGAATATTTTATAGAAAAGGGCGCAATACAAATAATAAATGTTATTGTTATTGTTATTGATCGTGACATTTGGACAAAATAAAGTAACGCAATAAATTTTAAATTACATTACGATTTCAGTGAACAGTCGAACTTAATTGGTCGACCTAAATAGTTCGACGTTTGAACCGGGCCTTTATAGGATCCAACATTCGAACTTTCTGCAAGGTACTGTCTCCCGTTGTTTTCTCTTTGTGCATCATTGAGTAGTTTAAGAAGGATTTCGGTCAGTTGAAATTTCGTGGGAATCAATGGCTATTAAAGTGGGACTGTCGCTGGAATTTTTGTCATAGCTTTTTTTAAAATTATCAGCTGGTAATCACTCTTTCCGCAACACTAAAGAGATAATTTTCAAACAAAGCTAGGGAAAGAAAGCAAAAATGTGTTATTTTTAGCAATTAACTGAGACACGATTAAACAACTTGAAAAAGTTAAGCGTGTTTTTTTCATCTTTGTTCTGTGAGAGACAACCGTAAATGGTTGTATTGCATTTATAAAGTACTTCTTTGCAAAACAGGAACATGTTTAAATTGTTACAAATACATCATTGGATTTGTGTATCTCTCGTGACAGTGCGTTGAATAGTTCAATATTATTCAAACCACTCTCACGGTACAGTGTCCTAAAATAAGGAAACGTGCTTGCTCAATTACTTCAAGAAAGCACTTGTGGCGACCCTTGTCGTGGCACGTGCTTTGATTTCTATCTTTCCTTTTGCTTTTTAATATGCAATTGTAGTCCAGGGCAGTGTCGTTCAATATTTGTCATTCTTTCCGTATGCGCGTGTTTCTTTTAATTGTAAATTTAGAAATGGTCGTGTAGGCTTTATATTGTAATTTTTGTTTGCAGTCGGCAAATTCATTTTCCGTGACGCGGTTTTACATTTCAATGGTAAAAATAGAAAGTGTATCAATGTGGGCTCTTGTCTTGGTATTTCATGGCACTTGGAAAAAGTTAGGAATCACTCCACTGCGTTTCACGTATTCCACATTTTTCTGTGCTGATGAATGCCTATCATTCTTTATGCCAATATAATGCATGTCCCGCCTTGTCTTTTCTTTCCTTTTTTTTCAGTTTCATGTTAAGTACATACTTTAGTGTTCTTTTTTGTTTTTTAAATATAACTCACAGGCCCAAGCAAATTCAACATTCCTTGTAAATAGTTTGCATTCTAAAGTTTTTGATATAAGCACAAACCTTTAAGGTGTATCAAAAGTTTTACCAGAGGAAAGTCGTGTTGCGGAAAGATGATCGTGAAAGGCTTTTTGTCCGCCGCGTGGAGAGTTGGTATCAAGGGGTCAACCTTTCTTATTGTCATTGCCTTCACTGTTTTCGGTTTGTTCATGGTTAGTAGTACTAGTTTCATTAATCCTTGTACTTCGTTCATCGAGTTTTTAAGCATTGCAAGTTTAGCTGTATTGACCGATGTCTTGTATACATCAGTATTCGAAAGTTAGCTGTTGTTAACAGGTGTTAGAACAATACTAACGAAACTAGTAATAGTTGACACTACAGCTGCCCCTGCGGCTCTGTATATTGTCGGTCAATAGCATTCTTCCTCATTGTGTAGCTCTTTGAAATATACCGATTCATAAGGAAGATTTTCACACATATTCCATACAATAGGTGAGCGAAATACAGGAAACGCAAGGTTCCATGCACAGTTTCAGGTCGATTTACACAGCTTCGATCAAAACATTCTCAGTTTCGAGAATAGTTTATTCTAAACCATAAGAAAAGATTTAATGAGAAGTTGAATTTTTCGCTATTTCTTTTTCACTTATCTAAAAGTCGTGTATCGGGGAAAATAAAGCAGCGAAAAATACTTCAGGAGAGGACTGCTTATTAACTTCATGTAAATTGCTACACAGGCTAAAAGTCAACACAGGGTTTTTTTCTGTCGTTAGCCCTTTAGCTTTGAAGTATCAGTAGTTTATTTACAGAATGAAAAGCCAAATCAATTGATATAAACTAAAAGTTTAGAGCACCACTTGACATTTTTGACTATTCATTGCTCCAAGAACTTTCTGTTCAATACGTGCAAGGTATGCAGTGTTAGCCTTGAAATGTCAGAACACAATTCCATGCTCTTTGATCTTGTTAAATAGCTGTATTTACTTTTTCCAACAACGTGCACTCTTATATGCAGCAACTTTTATGTCACATGATATATAACGACTAAAATGTTTCCCGCCAAACCTCTCGGGCGCACGGTTTCAACACTGAAAGGTTGGAGCAATATTCGGTGATTTTATGTTCTAGAAGATCTTGAATTGTTTTTATAATCCACAATCCTAGAAAATGCTAAACTGACTGTTTGTCACTTGAACCCCGTTTAATGGCCTTTAATAGCTGCTAGGAGTTTTTACTTAGCTCAGTGTTAGAACATATGGATGAGCAACCAAGAGGTCTTGGTTTAAACTTCTGTTGGAAGAACTCGTAATTCATTTTTTTCGAGTCGCTTGTGTCAGTGACTGAAAAAACGTCGTTTTCCTTATTTTCGTCGTTTAAAATTCATTTTGAGAATTGTTTTGATTTTTTGGCCCCTGATTTAATGACATTCCTTGAGACAAATGTATTTCCGTTCCGTCTGGTTATTTCGGAAAAAAATAGTAATGTCAACAAAGAATTCTGATATGACGCCAGACGAATAAGTTGATTGTGTATACTTTCTTTTATTAGTTTAATACTAGCTCGTAAACTACATTAGTGGGGCAGAAGTCTCTGTTGACAAAAACACGGCCATGCGTAGGGCAAACGAAGGTAATTGGAAAAAATCATATTTCACAGTTTTATGCAAATTGAACTGAATGTGAAAAATATTTCAAGTTAACCCAAACGCAATTCGTTCGAGTGTCGCTGAGTCGTCTGCAGTTTGGCGAACAATGCTGTCCTGTTGTTTTTTCGTTGTCCCACGGCATCAGAAAATAGAACTGACTGAGCATTTGATAAATGTGTGATCTAGGCCCTTTATAAGTGGACGTTCAGGTTTAAGTACTATAAAGAAACAGAGAACCACTCTTAAAACTCTTATGTCCCTTCTTTGACTACATTCGGCCCTTTGTATGAGAACTCATTTGTTTTTCTTTCTTTTATCTGAAATGAAAACAATCTTTGAGACTTGCTCTAGTTTGTTGTCACAACATTACGTAGTATAAGACCTGTGAGGCTGATATCTAACGTTGCTGAAATGAAAGAACATCCTTTTGTTGACCGTATGTCTCTTATGAGCTTGTTGCCACTAGAATAAAAACACTACCTTGTAGAAGAGAATTTGAAAACAAATTAAGACTGTTGCAACTGTCAGACTATCTTTGATCTACCTCTCGTAGTGTATTGCTTGTTTCATACCCCACGACTTAAGATAGATTTCATTTCTGGGAGTTGGCTTTAAAAACTCTTAGTTACTCCAACTCCCTTCACTTACATATCTTTTAGTTTCTGTTATCCATATGCCTGTCTTAAGTAATGTTATCTTTTATTATTTCTTTTATTAACCTCTGTATTTCAATTGGAAGTGAAATAAACCTGACTTGACTTGGACTTTGATCAAACAGGACGCACGTTACGGAATCGTTTGTTCGTAGTGTTCTTAAATTCTCCTGGTCACTAGTTATGAATGACACGAAGTTCCTATTTTTGTTACTGTGGACAGAATCCTAGAGTGTGAGCATTTGTTTTAACTACTTGTTTTCACAAATGCCTCGTTTCTTTCGACGCGAAACCGACTAAAAAGGTTAATTCCACTTGGGCATCTTATTCGATCACTGCATGCCAATATCTGTTAACATTATATTGGGGTAGAAAAGCCTCTTCAATAGATCGAGTGTTTTTGGACTTTGGTTAGACTGTTTTAATCAGTCATTGAAGGAGTGCTCACAATCCCCTGGAAAATACATAACAGCACAAATATATTACATCACTACTGCGCTAAGGGCATAGAAACGGTGCTTTGTTTCAGTGAGACTGATATGATATTGTTAGCACCGTATTCCTGGCGTTTCGTGTGTTGCGTATCGTAATAATCGCCTTGTGCTGAGAGACGCGACCCACAAGAAGTGGAGACAATCCGGATAAAAGAGATTACCAGAAAAGTGGAGATCTTGTTATTTACCTTGACCCAATATGTGCCGGGATTTGCATTGATAATAGCTAGTGAGCTGAGAATAGCCGAGCACGTGGCACGCGATGCTACTTAATGTCACGTGAGATTACTCGTGAATCGTTTCCTGTTTTGCTCTCTCGCCTGCTAATTGTGTAATCCGTACTTACTTTTATCGCGGGTAATTTGTTATGTACAGGAAGAGCTAGCAAACCTCTAGAATTATCTTTGCGGTTTTTGCAAAATTATTTTATGTTAGAATTTTCTTGTAACATGTGCCAACAGTTTTTGTGTCACTGCGTGAATTACCGCGATATCCAAATCGGGCATTTTCCATTTGCATGTCTCCCATAATACATCTCGCTTTCCCCCCCAAAAACCAAGTTGTATTGTGGGAAATGTGCAAATGGAGAACACAATGCCGTTCAGCGGGAATTGGGGGGAGTATTTCAAACGCCTGACGGGAAAGGTATCGCAATCCTCTGTGCATAAGAGACACGCCTCCTTCTCGTAAAATGTGGGACATAAAACCATTTTACAAAGCACCATCACTTGTTACCGGTGCGAAGAAACCTCACAAAGATCAGTCCAGAACGCGGCAAATCGGGAAACCTTATTGGAATTGTATAAAAGGAAGCAGCAAAACAAAAAATCCACAACAACAACAACAAAACTGGCTTCTGTTTGCGAAAAAGCAAGATAACAAGGATCTGGCGTTTGTTTTTCGTAGACCCGAGATTTTTTTCGGGTCAAAAAATGTTCGAACCTTCGGCACTTTTGAGCGTGGTTTCCGCGTCCCCACCACGTTCACGTTTTCTCTAATCCCCTTGATCGGTGCCACCTGGCTCTACCAGGTCTTTGCTATGTTAGGTCAGGTTTCTCGTTGTTTCAGGATGATTTTGCAACCAAATCCCTAAACTGAACCATGTCAAACTTGGTCTTTTTCAGGAATTCGTGAAGCGCTACAGCTTGTTGTTCCCAAAAATTGAAAATGGAGACCTGCGAGATGAGATGCCGAGCATCCTGGAATCCTTTGGACTGGATTCACGGGAGTATCAGCTAGGCAAACAAAAGGTAGAACGTGGCTTGAAGTGCTTCAATGTTACCTGATCAGATGGTGTCTCAAATTTAGAGCAAACCTGTACGAAAAAAAAGCACATCATCAGAATTTGATCCTACAAGGAACACTAAGACTTCTCACAGCCCCAATTTTTCCGTAAGATCGTAGAGATCGAGCGCTCACCGGAAGGGGCAGCCATTTTGTAATTGGCTGCAAGGACTTAAAAGCGCTCGTTCTTGGTGATCTTACGCTAAAATAGGAGACTGTAAACTGTTTAATAAACACGTTTGACAGCAGGAAAACAGTGCTTGGTAGTTCTAAATCGATGATTACACCTTAGGATTTCATTTACATACTTAAAAAAAAGTAAGAACCTCCTTTTACAGTTTAATAAACAGAAGGGCAAGAAAGTTTGGCTTAAGACTGAGTTTTCTCCATTCGGAGTTCGTACATAAAACTGCAAAAGCTAACCCATTTAGAGGCAGCGTGGCCGAGCGGTTAGGGCGCCGGCGGACTTGTAATCCGGGGTCTCGAGTTCAGGTCCCGCTCTGACCGCCAGCTGGATTTGTTCTCGCTAGTCAAGGGTTCAAATCCTCGGCCATGCTTGTAGAATAGCTAACTGGTTCTCCTCCCACCAGTTGGGATTCTTTAACCTTGTTATGTTCATTTGCATTATTTTTTTATCATCCCTGAAAAGCCCCATAAAGGGGAGAAGATATTTACAGTAAATTAACTCTCCTTTTCGGGATCGGATAGTCATTTGCTTCTAAAACATTTAACAAGAAAAATTAACTGAGGAACGTTATTCGACGTTCAAAGGAGTACGTTTTTTATTTGAGGGAGTGAACTTATTTTTGGTTTGCGGTATTTTTTTTTTAGATCTTTCTCCGAGACAGTCAGCATTCTCTGCTGCAAACACGTCTTCACTCGGAACAGATCCACAAAGTCTGTGTTTTACAGCGCTGGATCAGGGGAGTCCTACAAAGAAGGCATTTTATTAGGCAAAGAAATGCTGCTATTGTTATTCAGGTACAATTTTTTTGAAGAGAACAATCTTTTAGTGTGAGGCGGTTGGGGGTTTAGGTTTAACTCTTTAAATCTCAATAGTGACCAAGATCAATTTTCTCCTAACAATGTCCATACATTGTCAAGAGATAAGTTATGAGAATTAATAAAATGATCACCAAGGAGAAAATGCCTTGATTTATTATCAAATTCTCTCAACTAATTCTTCAATGAAATGTAGATCAGTTTAGAGTATTTGTGTATAAAATTATTTTTTCCTTCCACCAGGCCGCATGGCGTGGTTACCTGGCTCGTTCTAATCTTGAGCTGCAAGCATTTGCGGTCCTTCGAATCCAGTCCTCTTGGCGTACGTTCATTGCTCGGCGTGACTATCTGAGTGTGCGTGACAGAATTATTCTACTACAGAGTCACGCAAGAGGATACCTGGCTAGAATAAGGTATGTTAGGTAGTAGCACAAAATTAAAGTTATATTCAGGCCTTTGTGTGTCAAAATAAGTTAATCTCACGAAAAGAAAGTTTAGATTTTTCATTTCATTTTAGTATATAATTGCTTGCAGATTCAGACAAGACAAAGAGCTGATGTTAAAGCAGGACAAGGCGCCTGTCTCACCGTAAGACTTCCTTGTTATGTAGCTATTGGTGGATCTCTGATCCGTTAGAAATACAAAAACTCTGCCGTCGCTTGGGAGTATTGTTTTTTTTTTTTTTGGCAATATGTCGATTTAAAGATTAAACGAAGGCGTTCGGAAAATAAAGGCGTAAACAGAAACTAGAAATAGGTGTTGATATCATAAGCAAAAAGGAGAACCCGAAGTTACTTGTAAAGTGAAGTTTTTTTCTTTATTTATCCCTGACTGTTGTCAGTGTATTTTGTCCTTGGTCAGTCGTCTTCACCTGACACGGTGAAAACTTAAAATGGGAACTGAAAACTTTGACTCAGTTTTTGTGCAAAAGAAAAAGGTATATATAAAGACATCTTGCTGTGCATTTTTTTTGGAGCTTTTGTAAACTCTACATAATGGTTTTTCTGTTGTTTAGTCGTCCGGGACTGTCCCACGTGCGCTCTTTAAGTCGATCATTAAGTGATCCGTCGAGGTACGATGATACTTCCAACGATCAACGCGAAGTCCGGGACGGCGCGGACATAACTGAAAATGGACCACATTATGAGGACCCTTGGAAGCCAAGAGAGAGATCCCCATCCAAGTAAGGATACCTAAAGTGTCGCCTTTATGCTAAGATACAAGGTTAAACACTGTAAACTGTCGCCTATTAGCTCCCTCACTTAATACCCACCCCTGCAGTTTATGCCCCCCTGCAAACGTATTGAGGTGAATTCGATTGGTTAAAGCCAGCAGTGCAGGATCACTTGTGCGTGAGCCTGCTCGCAAGCTAAATTTATTATGATGTTTTGAAGGTTACTAAATTAAAAACCAGTAAATGCAAACGTATTTTTATCAGCACTGCTTTCGCTTGTTTCGAAGCGTTTTTTCTATTCGGGTTATTATTCCCCCCTCGGATATAAGCTCCCCCGTTTATAAGCCCACCCAAAACCCCTTACGAAGATGTATAAGCCCAGGGATTATAAGCGGGAGTTTACGGTAGTCCTCTCTGTCACTCCCAGAGCGAATTAAGGGAGTCTGCTAAGGTGATTCTTTCACTTCGTACTATTTATTTAGTATGTAATTCTAACTTTTGAGTCCGTGGATAAAATCCTATGGTGTTACCATTCAAATGAAACCTCTTCAGCACTTTCACATGGTACTCTTTACTTGGTATGTAGCTCTAACTTTTCAATCTGTGGATGAAATCCTATTTTGTGACCATTCAAATGAAACCTCGTCAGCAGTACTTTCACATGATACTATATGTTTAGGATGTAGTTCTAACTTTTAAGTCTGTGGATGGATTCCTAAGGTGTTACCATTCAAATGAAACCTCTTCAGCAGTACTTTCACATGATGCTATTTATTTAGTTTGTAGTTCTAACTTTTGAGTCTGTGGGTGGATTTCTATGGTGTTACCATTCAAATGAAACCTCTTTGAAAGCACTGTCAGATGGTGCTATTTGTTTTTCAGCAAGTTGAAAGTAAAAGTTGGAAATTTTTGTTGAGTGACTTTGACTCTAGCCAACTTTTGGGAGTGAAAGGGTCAAATATTTGATTTGGCGATTCAGTAATTTGAACTTTCACATATACAGGGTGAAGGATGTTTCCCAAGTCTTAGAAGAGAAACTTCCGCAGAACGAATCCAAGGGCAAGGTATGTGCAAGTTATCTGTGGGTGAGTTTTTTCTGCCAAATTTGTACGTTGGTTTCGTTATCTAAGAACCAATTTTTTTGCTTTTCATTTTCTTCTCTTCTCTTATCCTATCTGTGAGTTGCGAAAAAATATACTTCGGAAAGAGCTGTGGCTCTGCGTCGTTGAAATATTTAAACACAAACCTTTCTTTTCTTAGTCCTTTTTTGGCTATTGGTAAAGTCAGGTACTGAATGTCTATTAGTGTTGACCTACTTAACATGACAAACATGACAATCGTTGGCTTGTGCCTTGTTTCAATAAAGCAACGTTAGTGTAGTTCATGGGCGTGATTCAAATCATGGTCACGTATGTTTCTTTTTCCTCGTGTGGCCCCATTTTCGGTTGTAATAGTTGTTTTATAATGTGTGAAACTTAAGTCCAATGGTGACCAAACCACCAACCTCACTGAAATTTTCAGAGGGTAATTTTGGCATTCCTTACAAAGGTGCTGTAATGAATTTGCTGTTTTTGCTTTCTCCATTACCAGTTGGGTCGCCAAAGGTCATCTTCGTGTCCAAACAGCCCAGAAAACAAACGTCGCTCTATTCCTCCACCCATTGAAATTACGCCATCCAAACCACCCCTGAGAAACGCCTACAGCGAATTGAGCCCTATTCCCTCTCCCACTGCGCCCAATTCAAAGTCAGTAGAGGATTTGTCGAACGAACTCAAAGCTCCGAATTTTTCACGAAAGCTCACTAGCAGTATCCGAAGGCGTCTGTCATCCAAAGGTAAATCTGGCCAGCGGCATAGCACTTCAGACGTTTTGGACGACAGAATAACCAGGTCACATCGATCAGCCGTGGATGACATGGAGTTTTTGGGAACTGGGGTGAAGTCAATACCTAGCACCTTACATCGATCCGATGGCGGGAAAGTAAAGAAAGGCCTGTTCAGCAAAATTGGGCGGAGCAACTCTTTGAGAAGGCGGTCCGATTCTAATTTACACAAAATCACGGGGAAGAAATCCGCTGATTTGTCTGTAGGAAGTACTTCGCATGATGGTAAGGATTAAGAATAAACAAAAAACAAAACAACATAAAACTTTTCAATACATTTGAATATTGTTAAAGTGTCATCTCTTATATCGCTTTCAAGTTTGAAATCTGTGTAGCCATTTTTGTACGGTTCGCGTAACACTACTTATTTGACTACACGGGCCGAACTTAACTTATGGCGTTCTTACACTTCACGTAAAACGAAAGTCAGCGGTAGTCGTGGTTTTCTTCCCTTTGGGTAAAAACAGTGCAGCAAAACGTTTTCTAGCCTGCGTAGTAGGCGCTTGGAAGTAATATGCAAGAAAGAGCGGGAGTGCGACGGAAACACGCGAGGGTAAACGCTTTAAGGATGGGACTGCAATGTTACATTTGTTGTTATGTGCAATTTTGTATCTTGTGCCCGCGCCTGAAATTGTCCGGAGTTGAAGATTGTTCCTATATTTTTTTGAGTGTTTTTTTAAGCCAATGGTTCAAACTTTGGTTTTTCCCTTTCGGTGACGTGTTGTTCGGTTTAGTTCAAGTTGGGTAGGCATTTTACTCATTCGCTAGCCTGCTCATAGAAACACAAAAAGTTATAAAAATAACTGTCCTGACCAAGACAGCAGCTAAACCATTCTATGTCTTCTTGTCTTGTTTATAGACCTGGCAAAGGCGTTGAAACAAACCAAAATAGTTAGTTGTACTCTCACTCCAGGACCTGTGCAATGGAAAAATACGGGCAAGAAATTCGTAAAGGGAAATGAAGACCTTGGTGAACTGGAGGCGTTTTTAATGAATAAGGTACGTATTGTAGTACAAGTACTGTGTTAAGTTATGATCCAGGTAAGAAGGGAAGTAATTTTTTTTGTTGTGGCGCAATACGCTTTCCTCACATAGAAATGTTTTCAATTTCACGCAGAGAATGCTTAAACCTACAAAAAGGCAGTTTACGAACGAAAATGTATTTAAACTCCACTTTTAAAGGGTGTATTTTTGTGTTAAAACATTTCGACCAATCACAAGAGTTGCAAACAATGGCCAAGAAATGTTCACAATTTTACGTTATCCGCACATACGATTTCTGTGTTACTTAGACTCAGACGAGAATTTGTTATAAGGAAGTGGGATAGAAAAAAAGGGATTAATATACATGCTGTTTTGTGAAGATTTCGTAAAATTTGATGTTTAAACCAATCAGAACCCAGTAACGCAAAAGTGGTGATTAGCGAGTCCTTTCTTTATTCTGATAACACGCGGCTAAGTATTTGGTTCTAATTTTCCAGTCCCAATGATTATTTGAAAAAATGACTAGATCTACATGAACGTTTTTGAAGCCTTTCAAAAAATTCCCAATACGTCTTCTATTAGGTCAAAAAAAAATCTAAAAAAATACTTTCCAACTCCTTTATGAAGCTGTACTGAAGCAGGTTCCTGTTAGTGTTAGAGTCACTAATAATTTTTAAATATTCTTTGTCTTTCAGGTCTCCATGTTAAACCAGAAAGAAAATAAGAGGGACACCATAGTTGATCGAGTTTTCAGAAAAGCTCTCCAGGAATTCCACATGCAGCTCATCTCGTCATACTCAGTTCTAATGAAGGTAAGCATCACATGGCCAATACATGACGTCAAAGGTGTTATCATCATTATTATCATTATCATCATCCAATCGTCGAAAACCGATTAATTAGTTCCTGTAACCACTGCAGATGTAGACATCCTACCTTTCTACCCATTCAAAGCCTGCATAGCTGGCGGAACTGTTTTTGCGCGTGCGAGAGTTTTGGCGAGAAGCGAGCGCTGAAGGCGCGAGAAATACCACAGCGTCTCCTTCCCATTCTCCCCGCGGCGTCGCTGCTCCTCTGTCAAAACTTTGCTCGTGCTAACAATCCCGCTGGCTAAACAGACTGACAACTTGTTCGTTTTTTCCCTCGATTTGCTTAGAAATGGGTCGATATGTTTTAGGCAATTCTATTATCGTTGCTTTGATTTCAGTCGGATCAAGATTCTTTCAAATAATTGTTAAAGATATTTCTCAATGACTGGATTGTATTGGCAGCTGAAACATAACGCACAAAACGAACGACCCGTTTGTTTAATACCCCGAAGTCTTTCTACAAATGGCATGATGTGGTGTAAATGATCACGTACTATTGATCTGGGAAGAGTTAAATGAATGGAACGCACAATTGAGAACCAGATCCAGATATCGATATGCGGAACGATATCCATACGCAACGTAATCGTTCTCATTGCAATCCAAGTTTGGTTTGGTCTTTAAAGAAATGACATCGCTCAAGGAACGTTTCTTTTGTTTTATGGTAATGCAAACGGTCTAAGCATAGATAAGCGGGAGTTTGTTCTAACGCTGAACTGTTAATCTGTCGCAATTATCAAAACAGATCAAAAACTAAGCAATGTTGTTTTCCATTTTTATTTTGCGAACAGGAGGACAAGACGTTTACCCTAAAGTACGAGGATTTGATGGGACAGTTTGAGTTCACACTGAATAAAATAATCAAAAGCGAACGGATTATTGACCGTTTTCCTGTCATTATGGGTGTGAACGCTTTTGCTGGAGTGCTGTCTGAGTTTATCTCCTCAAGGTGACTATTTATGTCCCTTTCACAACAACTAAAAATGTTTGCTTAAACCAGGTTTTAAAAAATGAAAACAGACAAGGAAAACAGGAACACAGGTTTTCACACAGGATTGATATGAAATTCAACATGTTTTGTAATTTGCAATAAATTTGCGATCAACTTAAGTCAGTAAGCAGTTGTTATGAAGGAAACAATTTTACACCAAGTTTAACTAAATAGCTTTTAAGCTTTCGTGTGAATAAGGCTTAAGGGCTTAAATTACTACACATAAAACACGTCTTTTTGAATCACATAGTTTTTTTTTTATACGTAATGGAAAACGTATCTAAGATGTTCGGTTTTCTTCACCAGCAAGTTGTAAGTTGCGGATGAGGCAGCGACTTTTTGAGACTTTTCACCCTTATGAATGGAGTAGCGCCTTCCCTGTGGTCTCCTTTTGGAGAGCTGTACAGGGAGGTCACCTTAATTAGTATAACTGTATTTTGACTCTGAACATGAACACCGCACAGCGTTTCGAAATGTCAGTCACTGTCAACAACAACAGTACTATTCAGGACTATGAAATGACTCGTGGATTCAAACCATTCACAGTTTGTACTTTAACCATGAAGTGCGCGGCGTAATTATTTCCAAAAGAACTTCATTTTCTAGGCACAATGAAGTTGTCTCTTTTCCTTGTTTTTCTTGGCTGTCATTTATTTATATATTTTTATATTTATTTAATTATTGCAGAACACATGCGCCACACAAACAACCCAAGGTAAGTAAATGACCCCTGATTGAATAATAACACAGTTAACTATTCCTTTACGGACAACTGTGCAAGACGGATACGTTACTAATTTACTTTTTATCTTTCTTTTTTTTTCAAAAGCACCACAAAAAGCAACATGTAAAGAAGCGAAAGTCCTCCGAACTAACAGTAAGTATAAAAATGTCCTCTCCTTTAATCTCCAAAGTTTAACTTTAAGCTGTAGGCTGTGGCACCAACTGGACAAGCGGCTTCTTAGTAGTAGTAGGGACTTAACAATCCGAAGACGCGATGGCAGCGAACACGTCGCTCAAAAGGTGAATTTACGTTCTTGCAGTCCTATCGCGATTATTCCTACCCATTTACTTTATCGAAGTAAGTAGGCGAACCCTTCTGGAGATGAATCGCTAGGATCCCTTACCAAGTTCAGAGAGAAATAAAATTTCGTCGTCGCTTGTTTTCGTCCTCCATGAAATGTCAAATTAAGCAAACTTCACGCCGTAGTCGTGCAAAAAAGGCAAAGAAATGTACAAAAAAGTGTGATGCACTAGCAAAGTTGTCGTTCTACCTTCTAAACCTATTGTTCTGTTGTTGTTTTTTGACGTTCTCGTTAGTAGAGCGCGTGAGACGCGCGAGTGCGTGAAAGGTCGAGTCTCTTGTGCCGCGTCGTTCTCGCGAAGAGCGATTTTCTATGGCGTACGATCCCCGCCAAGATCGTACTCCATAATTTTTGCGTCCTCTCTTATTTCTGTGGCTGAAAGGTGGTCTAGATTGACAGAATGAAACACTGGACCACCTTTTGTCTATTGCTTTGCTACGTAGTTTCTTTATTAATATCTACCGGAGTATGTCAGTAACTCATTGCCCTAAGTAGATCAACCGACAGGTCTTTTCAGTTTGCCATTGCCGATAGTTAGTACACGAAATAAAAACAACAACGGCGAATTAAAAGGCGGCACCCAACATGAAAGAACACGAAAGCTGCATTAAAATTCTACCCTTGTAATTATATCTTTAAGCTTTTTATTTAAATTTAAAAGCTGCGAAATATAAGGATGAAATCGTTTCGCATACATTAGGACATTTTCCATAATAACCAATTAAAATTCGAGGAATTGAAATTGTGACGTCAACGGGCGGCGCGGCAGTACCGAGTGAAGGTAAAGTTTGTAATTCTCTTTCTTTTGCGACGTGTTTTTATCATGGCTTGCTCATCAGCGAAAGGTTCTGTGAACGTTACCACCGGCCACAAAATCAGGAGATGGTCTACTATCGGTATGAGGAGTCGAACGTCGAGTATAGGCGCGCCCATGGTATGCCCGTTACAAAATAACTATGTTATGTGAGAGGTGGCCTGCCTCATTAATTGCCTTTCTCTTTCCTAATTATGTTTTAAAGAATTTCAATTGCGTAGTTATTAAGGCTTTCCTTATCAGATACTGTATCGTTATCTCTTGAACTTGCTAATTGTCTCATGTTTTGCTGGATCCTCTCTTTCGAACTGTGTTTCAAACGCTTGAAGTGGAATCTCCCTTAAATTGGATGTCAACTTTTCTGCCTTCGCCTAGTTTCCGTTTGTAAGTTAAAGCTGAAAACTAAGTCTTTCATCCGGATTTTTTGTTGTTGGCGTATTCCATCTTTGCGTTGTAATATTATGGCGAAAGGGTGATTTGTGACTGAGGCTACATTTGTCACAAATTTCTAGATTAGATTGTAGCGATGATGATGTCCTTAGAGAAAAAAAAATATGTTTTCGTAAAGAAACACAGAGGTTATTTTTGCAGCTAGTTTATTTGTGAATTGTAACGTCTATTTTTTTTTATCTTTCTTGTAAAGCAAAACGTTGTTTATGCTACTCTTTCAGTGGACTATTTGTTTTTCAGTCCGGATAAATTAACACCTTCCGATAACTTAGTTTTTTTCTCGTTTGGCGACATATTTAAGCCAGAGCACGTTCTCAGTTGAAAAAAAGAACATGAATAAATTTCGTTTAATTCTTTTGTTGTGGTCAAAGCAGTTAATATTCATGAAAAACCTCGAAAGTCATGAAATTTAAAAGTTTCAGTTTCCAAGCCTGTAAACGGTCATGGAATTTAATTGTTTGTCCTGGAAAGTCATGGAAAATTGAAGTTATGTTTGGTAGATTAGCTATTGCAGATAGGCCAATGTAAATTAGAGACGAGTAATTAAACAGCGTGAACAGTAGCATTTTGGTGGACACCAGAACTTTTTGTTTGTCGAACTTAGCTAGGTCAAGAATACCTTAAAACAACTTAAAGGAAAGTTAAAACTAACCCTAGGGCCGTAGAAAACTTATCAAGGTCACGAAAAAATCGAGAAATGTCATGGAATTTGAAGAGTTCAAATTGTATCACTATGAAAGTGAACATGGCCTTCGCAGTAGAATGAACAACCTAAGCGGTTGAAAAAAATTCAGGCTTGACTGGGACTCGAACCCTGACTTTTTTCGATGACAGGACGCATCGCCCTATCCGGTCAGAGCAAAGGACAGAGTTCGATTCCTGGCCATTCCTGAATTTTTGGTTGACTGTTTAGTGTAAAGAGCGTCAGGTGATCCTTCTATTGGCGTGAAACGATTGCTTGTAGTTACTCAATTTTTGCGATGCCGTCAGTGCGAGCTTAAAGCACTTTTCATACTGAAATATCCTTTTTTTATTTTCAGGAATTTAATGGACACCAGTTCTCTACCACTCAGTTCAGTATCCCAACGTTTTGTGAGCATTGCGGAGGGTTCATCTGGGGTCTTGAGAAAGGATTCGTTTGCCAAGGTAAAGAAATTCCTTCAGAAACCTATTATTTTTTTGTGACTGAATAAAGCAACATCAACAGTGAGAAACAACAACACAGCGCCTGAAAAAACTTGAATTCCAGCGCGCCCGTTAGCCAAGCAGCCCTCGCTGCTTCAATGCCAGGCCCAGGGCAATTACTTGCTTGTCTTAGGCAATGGTTTACTTGGAGGATGGCTTGCTGGACCCTGCTCATCGGGCAAGTCGGCTTTAATTGTGTCCCGAACTGAAAGTTTATTTTCTGTTACATTGTTAGATTGTTGGGACGCCTGGGCAGTAGGCTCTAAGTTTACGGACGTGTGGGAACTAGGCCCAAAGTTAGTCTTCAGGGACTCGGACCCTTGTTTTTTTTATTTGTACTTTTTTGCTTGTGAATTCTTGTAGTTTGTTTATCATGTTTATATTTCGCAAAATAGAATAAACAAAATAAACAAAGAGTTACTTAATGCCCAAGAAGAAAACCTTCTCTTCCCGGACGAGCCCTGCATTTGCATTAACAAAGCAAAGTTTACTACTGGCTCTCAACATGCTGACATAATGAAACAGTTTGTGCTATTCCCTTTTAATCTCAGTTTTGTTAATTTACTCGTTTTTGGGTTCTCTTGCATCATTGATCGTATAATTTAAAATAACTGTTTTAAAAATTTTATTTTTCTTTGCAGAATGTAGATTTACCTGCCACAAGAAGTGTCACGCCAAATCTCAAAACATTTGCCGAAAGGGAACAAACAAATCAAAAGGAAAAGTATGAAAATTCTCATTCTATGTTAATACGTAAAGGCGCTGGGTTGGAGCGGTTTTCACGTAACCTGCTTCTTTATGTACAATAAAAGTGGCAGAAAATTGTCGTGCATTAGTATCTGAAGGGAAGCGTTTGATGCCATTCGATGGATGGAAGCAGTGATCAGTAACGAGGCTATCTACAAGCTCTTGTTCATACTTAATTTTCTATTCATGACTCGGAATTTTGACTAGGACAGACTGTGGTTGTGCGTACAGAATGGTGCCTGGAATCGCATGTATCTAGTTATATTTGCCTGTTTCTGTTCATTTATAGATGACAGATGACGTCATAATGTGTTTAGAAAAGCGAAAGTGGCACAGCGGTCCACAGGCGAATGTCACTGATAATCGTACCAAATTTGACGTCTTTTGCGAAGTATAAATAACACTCACGTGTCGTGTGTTGTTTAGTGTGTTGCTTTCTTGGCCAGCTTGTAACAAACACGGGTGTTTTTGTTGTTTTCAGACGGAACTTTTTGGTGGTGATCTATCTTGTCTTGTCTCAAACGAAAACGTGGTTCCACCTTTAGTTGACAAGCTCATCAAAGACATTGAAAAAAGAGGTAAGTTCTTGGAATCATCATCTTCCCTTCCTTGTTCCTAGGTGGGGAACAAGGCAGAAAATCATCCCTCTCCAACTGTAAAGTAATTTCCTGTTTTCTCAGTTCGCAAATGTTTTATATCGGGGGGTGATCGACGCCACGTCACGGAAACCCCGAGGGATGTTCTTTGTCTGGTCTCTCACACTCGGTCTTTCATGGTTGGACCTCCCAGGGATAAATCCCCTTCGGCATAGCTCCCAGGATCATCATTACATGCAGGTTCACCGACAAGACCGGGAGCCCGAGGTGAAGAGACCCTAAAATTAATTTTGGATTAATAGTCACATACGCAGACTTGGAGCGCGTAAACCGTGATGATATCCGTGTAAACCTCCAAATTGCAAACGAAAGAATCTTTAGTCTTACCGAGGTATTTGCATCTTGCTGGGGACATTCTGTTTCAATACCCTATGGGTCCAATCCAACCCAATCTCGCAGTTGCTGATTTCAGTTTGTTCATTATTGGGAGCTTCGAGCTTGTCATTTTGTTTTATGGGGTTTGTTAATTTTCTGGCTCGTAGCTAGAGGGTGCCACACTCCAGAGTTGTTCATGTCCTAAGCTAGGAAGATTCTTTAATATTTACACTCACAATGTCAACTTTGACAACTGATTGACTTCAACAAACTTCGCTGCTTTACGTTGCTTTGCTCTTTTTAAACATGTGTGTCCCTCTATTAATGTTCGCAGCAATCTTAGCACAGGGAACGCTTTACCATAATTAAACATTTTTGATGACAGACTGATGTCTTTGACTATTTTAAAGATTTAAATACCGAATATTGGCTCTCTTATTTATTTATATATTTATTTATGTACGTAATTGCATAATGATTTATTTTTGATTTTACAGGTCTATACACTGAAGGTCTTTACAGAAAATCTCCCAGTAATGTAGCGGTCAAAAAGCTCAAAAACGATATCTGTACGTTAGGTGAGTATTCTCTTTAATTGCTTTTCGAGTTTGCCGAGCTTAGCTGAAGATAATTAAGTCAAAGCTCTTTTAAACGGACAATCCTTGTTAAGAAAATCAGATCTTAGGAGAGAAAGGTTTAATTGATAACAAAAACAACCGTGAACCTTACAGCGACACGGAGAATACCCCGAGAAAACAGCCACCACTGGTTTCTCCGCGAAAATGAGAAACGAGTACAGAAATTCCATACTGATGACGTGTCACTGCCCTGATCTGGGTAGTGCTTCTGATTGGTTGAAGCAAATTTGTCACGCAACACAACCAATCAGAATCTGGGTAGCGATACGTCATCATTATGGAATTTCTGTACTCGTTTCTCAGACGTCATTTCGCGGGGAAACCAGTGGTGGCGTCGCGAAATGTCGGCTGTTTTCTCAGGCTACACGGAAAAAGGACTGTGTCTAAACAAACTTGATCCCAGCCTTGCTTCCACCAGCGTCTGTTAATTGTGGTTTTTTTTTTGACCGGCGTTGTCTCGTGCGCTTTCAGGTATTGACCATGTTAATTTAGAGGAGTATACAGTGCACGTGGTTGCAGGAGTTTTAAAACTGTTCTTCCGACAGTTGTCTGTTCCTGTCATCACTTCAGATTTCTATATGGATTTCATACGCACCGCCGGTGAGTGCAAAAAAATAACTTTTTATTGTTGCTTCTTTTCTCTTCGTAATCCGCGTTGTTTTAAAGGTTAAAATAATAAAAATCTTACAATAGAACTGTGGGGTAAGAAATTGAATCTAATGAAGGTCATTACAGTTAAAGACGCAACTTTTGCGGTAGCAATAGGAAAGCAAATTCGAACCTTTGACGTCTGCGTTTCCAGTGAAGCGCTTTACCAATTGAGCGGTTATCACGTCAGCTGGGAGCTGGTCATTTAGTCGTTTCATTACTCAACTCGTGAGGGATGAAGATGAAATAATGAACGTATGAGCAGCTGTGAAGTTGTATCAAAGACAAAGTTTGGAGTTGATTGTAGGAAGCTTAGCCCTTCTATTCTGAAGAGCGCCCGAAGTCAAGGTTTATAAGCCGGGATAACCAAGGTACATAAACTAGTTTTCAGTGACATGCAACGTACTTGCGAAGAGGTCTCTTCGGAAGTAGGAGATATCGTTTTATCTTGCTAATTTCTAAATTCTTGCGATCTTTATGTTTACTTAAGTAATTTTTTAAGGAAAAATAAGGTTTTGAGTTCACTTGTCGTGATGCAACGATTTTACCACTTCAGTCGCTTACATCTGAACCGTTAAATATTTTTTCTTAGATCTGAGTGAAGAAAAGTTACGACTTCAGGCTCTGTACAGCTTGATTCAGAAACTACCCAAGGCAAGCAAAAACACACTGGAAAGATTGGTCTTTCATCTTTCAAGGTGAGAAATTAATCAGACATTGAATCAAACATCAGGGGCACCCAACGACTGTTTTCTGTTCGGAGAAACAAATATTAGCTAGAATTTTTTATTACTTGAGAACGGCTAAAAGTTTCTAGATGACCGTTCCATTCATGTAGTACAATTTTGGAAGCTTATTTAATAAATTTCCTACGATTTTCTGAAGTTTAAGTATTCAAGTTTAAGTATTAGGATGCCTAAAACTTTCGGATTCAAAGTTGTGACGGATAGAGGCATCAGAAAAATTGTCACTTTCGCAATAAGTCAAATTCCATCTAGAATTTTTGGCAAATAATACAGAAGCCCTTGTATTTTCGAACAGACTCAAGTTCCCTTGGATGTTTTATAGCGCCGCTTAGAATGCATTTCTAGAGATCTAAGAGTACTCTGCATAGCCTAAAAAGTGTTTTCAATGTATTTAGGTCGTTGAGTGCCCCTGAGTCATACATCGCAGACAACGAGTAGCTAAGGTTCGAAACAAGAATCAAGCAGTTGTCGTTTGCTATTTGCTTGCATTTGCTTCATTGACGTAGCTGCGAGAGAACGCGCGAGCAAGCGGTAAAGCACTCGTGTCTCCTTTCGAGTGCTGCTCTCGCGTGACATCTCGCGACTCCCCCAAATGGAGAGCTTGCTCGCAGGCTAACGTTGACGTGAGTGAGGTCAGATTGCAAGCCATAGTACAAACAACAGACCATGTCTGTTCGTTTTCTTATGCATTTGGTAATGATTGAAGCCTAAAAAGTGATAAACTCTTATCAAATTCATCAGCTTCGTCTATTACTTGGGGATTAAGGTAACCGGGTTGGTGCCCAAACACTTAAACACCGGAATTATAAAACTTTTGATATTTTTTGGTCCGTAGAATATCTCAACATCAGGATGAAAATCTAATGAACGCTAATGCGCTGTCTATAATCTGGGCACAATGTCTCATTGGAACGCCCGCTGGTATGAGTGCGCTGGAGAGCATGCAAGACGTGGCCAAACAAACCAAGTGAGTGATGCTTTCATTGAGTTGGTGATGCTAAATTCTGCCAAGGGACCCGATCGACGATAGAGTTGTCGACAAATATATTATATTTTAATCGATATTTATGCGCATTATAAGATTGCTAAATGCCAATAAGGCAAGAGGTCGCGACATCTGTCGATAAATATTTTGTAGTCAACAACTAAACTAGTAAACAACTCTAAACTCTTTGTGCGAGGCGAGTAAATTTTCAATGGCAGCAAAATAGTCTCTTTTTTCAGTGTAAAAATTATCTCTTGTTTGAAGTAGTTTACTATGTTACATACCGCAAAATCGCCCGGATTCCTAGTCCACAATTTCTTCATTTGGAAAGTTTAGAAGAGCGCAAATTTTTTCATTTTAGTAATATTGGTTTTCCTGGCTTTTTCCAGGGTAGGTTTTTTTAAACTGTCTTCTTGTTTTGGCAGCTAAAGCTAAGCTTTCTTGTTGTTGTTGTTGTTAGATGTCTCGAAACCCTGATTCTCGGTCAGTTATCCAAGATCCGAACAACTCTGCACAGCATTCGAGAACTTGACAAGGCAACGGACTCAGCTCACCAGCGCTTGTCGACGTTGAACCTCAACGAAGAGGTAAGCCCATTATTTCTGGTCCGATATCCAGCTCAGTCGATGTCGGTTGTATCTTTTACACACCGTTAATAGATCGTTCATTGTCCCCTAGTTTTTCGGGCGATTATGGCCGAGTGTCAGGCGATAATCGCACTAGGCGTGGCGCGGAGGCGTAAGGCCCACTATGGAGCGGTTTCACAAGACGCCACGTCATCCATATATATAGGTATCCCAAAACAATGAGGAGGATGGGCTTGTCATCTGGAGGCTCGGGGTTCAATGCCCGCACTAACCGCGAGCTGGATTTGTTCTCGGTAGTCCCGAGTTCAGCTCCTCGGTCATGCTTGTAAATGGCCAACTGGTTTGCCTTCGGCCACCATAATGAAAACTACTGGTTTACCAGTAATTACGTTTCCCCTATAAAGTCAGTTTTTTTAATGAAACGGTAGCTATGTTGTTGCCCCAAACCAATCCTGTGAGAGATGAACCTTCTTAGGTAAAGATTTGCCTTTGTTGCAATAAATTTCCATAGATGCTGGTCACCTGGGTGAAAAACTCCATAGGGTACAAGTTTGTAGCATGCGATATGGTTCCAGAAAGCCTCTATGGCGCGTTATTTATATTGTGTTGTGTTGACGACACGCATAAGCTAGCGGCAACTCATATAAATGTTTATTTTTGTGTTACAGGACGAGGGATTGGTGGAAAACGACTTAGAAGGCGAAGTAAACGAAAAAATGCTTCTCAGGCAACAACTATATGAATTACGAGAACAAAGGTTGGTTTTTCGCTCAGCTTTATTCCAGCTATCTTTAAATACCTCTTTACACTTTCTCTCCCATAGTGAATCTTTAGGGTGGAAGAGCATTGTTCTATGAGATGGTGCGTGGTAATAATTTCTGCAACTTTTTTTTTCTCTAGGGTAAAAATTAATGGTGTCCTAAAACGTTCGTGATACATATCACAATAAAATGTTTAGTCAAACTCGGCTTGTGGAACCATATTTTGGCCAAAGCCACTTAAACGGACTGACCCGAGGTTAAATATCGATGTACCGCTCTTCCAAGATTCTCAAATTATTTTTAAGAAATAATTTGAGATTTTCGAAAATCGACTTTTAAAAGCAATTCACTATATGGATAACTCCTAGATTACCATGTAAGCCCTATTAGTGACCAGAATATAATTTCTTTTACAGTCAAAACAGGTCAAGCGTACCCCCCCCAAGATTCTATTAATGAATTGATTATTTGAAAAATGAATCCGTTAGTCGTTCCCGTAACTGGTGTCAAATTCAAATCGGAATTACTGCATGCGTAATGAGCAGTGAATAATTTACGTTAACTTGTTTGTATTTGGTCAGATTGAAAATCTTTGAATGAATTAAAATTCTTAGAAGACACTTACATCAAATTCAGGGAAACTGAGCTGGTAGAAATTTCGTAACTGAATCGCGTTTGAATTCACGGTTCATTACGCATGCAAGAATGTAGAGATGGATCTGAAATCTACAACTGCCAACGGACTCAACTTTCGAATAATAAATTCATTAATGAAATTTTGAGGGGTATGCTTGACCTGGCTTGATTGTAAAAAGAATCTTTAAAAAAATGCGCGTATTTGTCGCTGGTATTAAAACGCGCGTCTGAGATTTGTAGACCTTTGAGAGAGAGCTTTTTAGCTCCAGCATCATGTGCTATCATTTTTACATCACCAGTAAGAGCAATCTCTACTTAAAGCGATGAAGGTTTCAATACTAGCCGGCAGATTTTCGTTTCTAAAAGCTCTCGATGTTATGTCAACTCCTGGCTACAACTACTCAATCGCTCATCACTTTTATTTGTTCCTTTCAGAGCTCTTTTAACAGCCAAACTGACCAGTTTAGGGCCTGGTAACCCCAGAAGAGCAGACAGCGAAGAGGATTTGGCAAGCGATGACTGTCAAACTGATGATGATTTGGACGCAGGTTACGAAGAGGAACTAAGGGAAGAGTACGCCGTCACCTTTGACCTCCCTGGTAAGTCATCGGTTAGTCACTCAGGTTTGAAATGTAAATAAGAGCTTATTTATTTTTTGTATCCTCTCTATGAGCTGATAGCTGTAGAGAAATGGGGTAGTGAACGCAAAGAAACGAAAAGAATGAAAATCAAAACACAGTGAAACTTCTTTTAAGCGACCACCTGAAATGCGACGAGTTTGTGGTCGCTTACGAGAATCGACCAACAGGTGGTCTCCTCCGGGAAGAGGTCCCGGGACATCTAATTTTTTGCCAAAAAAAAAAAAATTATTGCATGCAGTTGACGATATGTGTGGTTCCATGTTGATTGTTCTCATTAAAACTTCTTCGTATATTCCTAGTAGCGTAGTACAAGAGAGCGAACATAAAGATCGGGCCATGAATCAAGCGGTCTTTTACTGGAAGTTAATAACGATGATAACTATAAAACTGTCAAGTGGTCGCAGTCGCCATAAATCTTTTATTCTGTAGCGTCGAAAGGCGGTGGGGGATTGGGAGGAAGGGAAATAGGGAGAGGAATTCCCCCCTCCCCCTCCCTGTCCCCCTACCCTCCCCCTTTTTGCGCCTGCCAAGCAGGCTCGAAGTCTGCGAAACACCATTTTCGGCCTTATAAGTGACTGTGTCCCGAGCCTTATTGCAACTGGTTGTAGTGACAATCATAGGAGAGTGTAACAGATTACACTAGCAAACGGATTCTTATTCTTTTATTACTTTTTTGTTGTAGCAACTCCCATTCAGTTACATCATTTAACCAAGAACCGCGCCAGGCAACCTGTCAAGAGACGGCGTCCCACAAGAGCCAAGTTACGCCAGCATGAAATAGAGAGATAGGACACCACGTTCCATGTTACCTGAAGTAAATCATATATACCAATGTGTACAGTTACCGAGCAACGCCTCTGAGATTAACTTAGGACACGAGGTTTAACCGGCTTTGTCTTAAGACTGAGTGACGAGCATCAATTTCTCTTGACAAACACCATCAATTATTAATGAAATGGTCAACTAAGGGGCAAATGCTTTGATCGTTAAACAAATTCCCCTAGCTTATTCTTTAAGGAAATGTATGGAGATTAGTCTAGAGAATTTGTATGTCGATTTTGGGGCTGAACGGGTTAAATCTTGGGTCTGCCTTGTTCTTCCTTGGAAATATTAAGATAAATTCCTTTTCCTACTTTCCCCCAGCGATTCCTGAGATTAATTCACTATCGATTATTTCCGTGATCTTCATTCAAACTTACTCTAGCCTCTTTTCCAGCGTGAGTAGACCTCATTCACGATACCCGCCATCTTTGCACGCGCTTAAGGACTGATGGGATAAGTAATGTTACTTGGTTTCTCAGGGGGCAAACAAGTGAAAAAAATTGCCCGTGCAAAAAGTCGTGGTCGAGTTTGCTTATTCTAGACAACAGAAAATGAACTTTTCATCTTGAAGATGGTAATGGCAAATTATTAGTGGAAGCAGTCATTGTTACTTTTCTCGGAAGCAGTAGCGACCGTAAATGTGTAAAACTTGTGGAAACTCGAACTGTACATTTTGCGTGACTATTAAATCTTGGTACAGTTTTGATAGAATTAACAAAGTCGACCGCGATTACTCATATTTTCAAATTTTATCACTTGTTTACCCCCCCCCACCCGAAATACCACGTGACATTGCTTCTATCCCATCGAAACTAAAGCGCTTGCAAAGATGGTGGGTATCTTCTACTAACACCACTGCGAATTTTTTAATTTTAACCAGGCTTAGATTTGGGATGAATTTTGTCGTCCATTTGTGTGGCAAAATTTGATGACTCTCTTTACTTTAATTAAAAAAAAAATTAACTCGTTCATATTGGAGCTTTCCAACGCAGTCACCGAGAACCTAAGTTACGTGTATATGGACAGCAGTCGTACAAACACATGAACATTCTTACGCTAAAAATAGCTGCAGTAACTGAGCCCGGGTGGTTGATGACGCGTGTATGAACAAACCCTTAACCGCGTAGTATCGGTCTGAGCCGTTATTGTAACCTACGTTGTCACACGTCAGAGAAGCTGTGCGTGACAGTAACGGATGGGGAGAGTTTTGTGCCTTTCTGTCAGTTAGGTGATGGCGCAGGCGCCATTTGGTTCAACGCGATGTCTCATGGGATGGGAATAGGCCGTTTACGAGTTCCTCTAAGCCTCTGTTTCAAAGCGAGGCTAAGTGCGAAAGCATTGATATGGAAATGATTTATTCTCATGCAAATAAAACTAATTTTCACAAGAAAGATTGTGCACGTCGCCTCGTTTTGGAAGTGAGATTTTTTGGAACTCGGAAATGGCCTGTTATAAGGGGCTTTCGATTTCTATGAAAACAGTAATCCTGTAAATTGTAATATTGTACATAAACATTTAATTTGGTAATCGAAATATATTCAATCAAAGCTAATGGTTTTAAAGTTCTAATGGGAAAAAAGGTGGGATTTCTCCAAGGGTGCAAGCCCTCGGCTACGACGTCAAAAAATCGCTTCGAATTAACAGTAATTGTAACAAACACGTAAGGTTTCTAAAGTACATTACCGTTTTGAATTTCTCCTATCCACTAAATGAATGAAAAATTTTATTTTAATAAAATAAAATTTATTTTAATAGTTAGTAAAAATTAAAGGGAAATGAAGAAATTTTGAGGGTTGCATCTCGCTGACATAAAATGTCCCCAGCTTAACAGTTTTAGTTACCCGATTCCAAGTAGATCGTATTACATACAACCAGTGTGAATTGCTCAAGACCCTTAAAAACCGCAATAATTAGGCTAAGTAGAATATATTTATACCAAACATTGAGATTAGCTGGAGTGACATGTCATACATAAGTTTCTTTTTATGTTTGTATCATAGTAGTACTGAGTAGGTTTTGTGAAACACACAGTAGTCACAGAAGCTATAACAGAAGAGCATTGTAGCCAGTTTTAAGCTATATGGTTTTTTTTTTCAGCAGTTAAAATAAAACTCATCTTTAGAAGACTTGTGTAGTGGTTCTCTTGCTTTGTACTAGAAGTGGCCCAAGGGCAAGCTCTCAATTCACCATTTTCACACAGACCATAATGCACCTTGTCTACCCCGAAAATTTTGCATAACCATTGTCTTCGATCTGTTATACCTAGGGGAATTGAAAACAATGTTTATGCAAAATTTGCAGGGGTGGGGCTAAACAAGAACAATTGAGGTGTATGTGAAAATGGTGAATTTGTGAAGGTCACTCCACCCTCGTATTCTCCTTACTCTTGACCAGCGGTCGCCCGTTTCGTCAAACCAGCACGAGAAAAGGAGACTTGGCGTAGGACATTGAAGACACTCGCCTCTGAGGCCTCGCTCAGTCTCGTTTTCTTTTCTTCAATTGAAAGCTTGCGTGCAGGCTATAGGCTGGGAAACACGAAGGGTCATATTTAGACCAAGTTCGATATATTAAAATTCATAAGTGGCTACGGGGCTTGAGGGAATAGAACTAAAAACAGTGTATTGTTGAGCCCTGGTGTATAGAGTACCGAAGTGATGACGTCATAAAAATGAAATTTGTGAAATTATGGGATTTGTTAAGCTATTCTGAAAGAACAACGTCCAAGACGCCTACTCGCCAAAAATTAGCAATTTGGGGCAAATTGTCACTGAGATATTAGCCCAGTTATGCTGTGACGATTCCATACAAATCCTTCTAAATTTGGCTTGGTTCATAAGATTAGGAACCAGGTAAGATTTAGAAGGATTTGTATGGAGTCATCGGAGCATAACTGGGCTAATATCTCAGAGACAATTTGCCCCAAATTGCTAATTTTTGGCAGGTAGGCGGTTCTTTCAGAATAGCTTAACAAATTCCATAATTTCACAAATTTCAAAAATGATTCACGAATACAGGATATTACACGGCCGCGCGAAGATACGAAATTTCTCTTCGAGTGTTGAAAAATAATTCACGAATGAGCGCAGCGAACGAGTGAAATATATATTCAACACGAGAAGAGAAATTTCGTATCTCCAAGCGGCCATGTAATGTTCTATTTATTATATAAACACCAATGAACTACCAAACCATTTCACTTTAATAGTTTTTTGGTGTGAAAGGCACGATTTATTATGTAGCCATAGCAACGGTGATATTTTCACATGTGAAGATATCAAGTTTTCGCGCGAAAGCTCACCTGGTATTTCATTGGCGTTTATATAATAAAATAGGTTGGCCAGCTAAAGACGACGAAGAGAATTCCCTTGTGTTTGAAGGCGGGGGAAAAACATGTCCTCGCAATATTTCCTATAATACGGCCTTTGTGATCATATGTTATGCTTCGCGTTCCTGGGCACTAGTTCATTCGTGTGACATGTCGCGATCACAAATACGCCCCTTAAACTAAGAGCTCACAAGGATTGTACTCTGTAACATTTCGTTGGGAATGTCTCTGCAGTTTGATTCATATCCAAGGACACAAAAGAGGGACGATTGACTTAAATTAAAGTTCCCTTAGCAAACGAGAGTTGATGAGCGAGAGTGACGGAATTATAACTGCGATCACCCAGAAAACTAAGGCCATTTCCGAGTTGCCCGTAGCCTCTGTTTCAAAGCGAGGCTATGTGTGAAGCTATTGATCTGACTACGATTTTTTATTACCATGCAAATAAAACTCATTGAGGTAAAATGAGTTCAATTCTCATGGAAATAAACCCATGGAAACGAAAATGGCCTATTGAAGTGTATTCAAACTCTTTAGGCGTGCCTGCTCAAATTTAATCAGGAGTTCTAAGTCGAACAACATCAGTACCATGACAGTAACAGCTAGGCACTCTTGGGTCTTTGGAAACAAATCAAATGATTAAGCCTTGTTAGTAGCATAAGAGGTGTGCAGAGAACAGTAAGGAGAACAGTTTTAAGGGTATGTTAAGCGTGATACAATAAAAAACGGTCTTACTTACGTGCTTGGAGTCTTCAGATTTCTTGGTCACGTGAGGTGGAAAAGAAGCACAAAAAGCGGGCGCGCGATATGCGAGCGGTGCGCGGCAGAAGGCGACTGTGTTCTTTTTTTGCCTCTTCCACTTATGTTACAGCAAAAGAGAGACTTCCCGCAGTCTTGTCTGTAATTTATGAAGAGGCAAACGACCCGGCACTCTCTATAAAGGTCTATACGGAGAGGCTCCGTCAGAAAGGGCTTCGATTTTCGGGTTCCTGGTATTTGAAAGGGTAGGGAAATTTTGTCATTTCGGTCTGTAAAAAGACCCAAAAGGGCTAACAGATGCATTTATATGTCTCCAAAAAATTTGAGAAAACGTTCTGGTTTTGTGAGTTTAAAAGGGATGCGAAATTTCAAAGTAGGTATGGGAAAGGGGTTCGATTTGTCAATAGAAGGTGAAAGAAAGAGGTGCCTTTTCCGTCGAAAATGGTACGTAAAAAGGGAAGGGGTTGGACCTCGCGGTCGAACCTCCCCAGTATAAACATTTGTTGAGTACCAACCTGCCCCCCCCCCCCCCTTCTCAGTAAATGAAGAGATAAACACTTACACTCTCTTTCTCTCTCTGCGAGGTTGGCTGTTGATCATTTAAGCATTTTGGCAAAGTAGCAAAACAAATGTGCATGAAAGATTATAGAAATTGCAGAGCGTTTCGAATCAGTTTTATTTAGAGCAAAAGCTGAAATAATCATATCTGGATACAACCTGGCACGTGACTTACTTTTCGTTAAAATAGTTCCAATTTGAAGCTTAGTATTACGCGCGCAAAATTTCATCAAATATGGGAAATATGTAACCGTTATCTTGCGCAGGAATCACGTGACCAGTACCAAGTGCAAGAAACGTAAGACGTGGACACCCTCGCATAGGTAATTCTTAGAGATCATAATTGATACGGCTATACGGGTTACATGTTATCGATAAGAGCATGTTATGTTCTAATAATGTTGAAAAGTTCAGCTGTAAGATTCCGGCATGTCCACTAGAACACGTATGAAAAGTGTGTCATCCCCTAAAAAGTTTCCAGCTTCGAGTTCTTCCTGTTTGACAAAGTCATCAAATCCCACTATGATAGCCCTCTCATCACGGCCAGGCCTCTCAATTCCTTTCCTTCTCACTTCATCGCGCTTGAAGTCATGAACTTTACGTACACGTGTCAGGTCTTTCCTGGACTCAGAGTCCGGATTTTGGTCCAGTAAAGAAAAAGTGTATCGCGGTCTGATCGGCCAGCGGAGTATTGCATCGTACTCCCCAGACATGACGCATGCGTAAAGAGACAAACACTTTCCCTCTTCTTTGCCTCTACCATTAATGTAAGCCCAGACAACGATCTTGTAACCAAACGCTGACGTGTAGAATGGTTCACTAGTCATCGGGTCGTCGGTACGACCCGACTGAACACGCTGCAATCTCCGTGAGAAGTTCGAAATCCGCCATACGAGTTCCCCATAACCACTGCTGAGTCCGGGATTAGAAATAAGACCATTTTGCGGCGGCGTTTCGAGTCCTCTTTGTTCCAGATCTGCGATTCTGCTCTTGAAATCTTTCTCGTATTTAGACTGATGTTTCTTTTGCTCTTTCATTTGCTCACACAAGCGATTTATAGTTTTCTCTTGTTCCTGGTTATGCTTGACGGCTTCCTCACAAACTGCTCCCAGTTTGCTGACACTTTCCGTCAACTGAGCTATGTTTTCGTCCTGTTTCCGAAGGCGGCCGCGCATTATTCCCAACTCGGTTCGCTGTTCCTTTATCACTTCTAAAGCCATCTGTAAGTGATTCTCTGTGTTTTCCTGAAGGTGCTTTGTTAGGTCAGTTTTAGTACCCTGCAAAACAAAGAAAGTTTAAAGCAAAAATCTACGGTGGATGATAAAAATCACTACTGCTCAGTTGGGTTGAAACACTCGTGCGAAGCTTTGAAAGGTCATTGGCGGTATGGAGTGTGTTATTAGCCTGGAAGGGTTGATTTTATGAAAGCGTCAGCTCCCACCGAAAAGAAAGAAAGAAAGACGCTAAAAATAGCTTCGGGTCACCTTAAAAACCCAACAAATACAACGTTCGAGGCACGCAGCTGAAACCAGACTTTACTCCATCAGAAGAGAAAAGCATCAAGCACTGTTTTTTTTGCCTCGGTTTAACATGTATTCAAAGATAGATTCCAGGGGAATAAGCAGGGTTTTGACTGTAAAAAGCTAGGCTGAAACTGAAACGCTGCTCCGACACACACACAGCCGACAGAAGCAAACCCGTCTACAAATGGTCTGACTTTTACCTCGATTTTCCCTCTTATTTTGAAGATGATGATGATAATAATAATAATAATAATAATAATAATAATAATAATAAGAAGAAGAAGAAGAAGAAGAAGAAGAATTAATAAGTGAGTAGCTCTTCCTTTGCTTAAGACCTTCTGCCGTCGAAATTCATCGCCAAAAGCATTTCTTGATTTGTTGCTAAGAAACTACGGGCGCCAACCTAGTAGATTCATATACAGCCGTGTAAGCTATCTGCGATTCAACTGCGCGCGCTTCACGAGCGATCAACGCGCGACGCTAATTGCGACAAATTTATTAAGCTCGCTTTGCGAGAAATTATGTATCAATAGACGAGCATTACTTGTCAAGTTACCTGAAAGGAACAGCCGATATCTTGATAGGCGCAATGATCACATGTGTTGGGACATTCAACTATGATATGATCCGTTAGCTAAAAACCAAAAAATAAAAAACAAAAAAAAAAAAGTTACAACATATGTATTTTGTCTCCAAAGAATATCTTCAGCAGCCTCCCGATAACAAGTAACCGCGAAGGTCCGAAAGAAAAAAAAAATGTAGACGAGTAAAATAACTTCTCCCCTTTAATACTATGTGTTTTTTCATTACATTAATTGATTGTATATTTTAGAGACAAATACGGCTTACAACATCCTGGGAGACCCAGGATCAGTCAGTTGGGTAACAGGTAAAGAGAACCGGTGCGGTGCTTGAAAACTTTCGTCGCGTCGTTTTTTTCGACCCAACTAACTACCCCTAGGCCTCCATCCGAGGAAGACCTCACAAAAGATCAAAGTACAATGCAATTTACGTCTGTTTGCTGTTAATGTTCTTTACAGACAGGAAAATGCTTGAGGGCACTGAAAAATCAATTCAGCTGGCCACCCCGCACAGTTCAGACCCTTCCATTGAAGACTTTTAATCAAGAGTCAATCTTGTCTTTCTTTGAAGATTGAGTGACCTTTTTCATTTTCAGACAAAGAGACTTCGCGCTTAAGCTGAAAGGAGAAATGCTTACTGGCCAAATTGGCAGCCTTTAATCGAGCCGCTTGACCTTCGCGAAATTTTTTCCCAGCCGTTTGTTCTTACACCAAAGTAAACACATCTAAGTTCAAAAGGGTCGATTTAATTGGCTGAGTACCATCACAAGATGTTTTTGTTATTTTTCGGTTAAAAGCCGGAGAAAAATCTCTCCTTTAGAATATCGAGAATAGGTCGAATAACCTCTCTTTCGTTAATACAGAGCTTTGTTATTGGTTTAAAAGCCGGAAACAATTCACTATACCTTCGGAACAGTTCCCCTTCCTTATAATGAAATTTGGCGCCAATAAGTTTCATCTAATTTGTTTTTTTCATCTTGCTTATAAAAAAACGCAAACGGCATAAAAGCAGAATAAACGTGCCGGAGAGAACAAGCTGGATGTATTTTATTGCGCCTCCAAAGCTAATCAGCATCAGAAGAAAAAAAATTCAATTTAAGTTCTTTTAGGTTTAAAATCCTCAATTACAGCCAAATAAACAGCAGAACACGATTCTGTAATTATATCCTTTCAGATGCCATAGCCTCAAGTACAGTCAGGTCGAATTTTGAATTCAGCGTCGAAGCTCTCCTCAGATTTTTGTAATGACTTTGGCCCAAAAATGTCGACATGATACAGAAAGAATTACTTAATTACCCTTAAAGCTTTTAAGAGCAGATGTGCACGTGTTTGTCATCATAAGAAGGGTAATACACATAAGGTATAAGATGTTTAGCACCAGATAACGTCCCAATAAAACCATATGCCACTGGCCACCGAGAGAGCATTTCACAAATATTTCTTTGAAAAAACATCAATAACTTCTGACAGGCTTCACATATACTTTTTGCTTTACACGAATAAACTTTATGCATGGTTTACTTACGACGAAATTAAACGAATTCTTTGAGTGTTATGTGTAACATCAGCCTGGCCTTTCACTTAGATCAATCCTTCAACTGTTGTTACCAAAAAACGAACAACCACATCTTTTATTTACGATAAAAATCTTCTGATAACTTAGTGAGTAGAGTCTATGTTGGAGTAATATCGCTTAAAAGTTCAACTTGATGATGGAATTTTGTTTTGCTTAAATCGCTATCTTTCTAATCACAAATTACAGCATAATTTAGCCCTACGTAGTTTGTTAGCGTACCTTCTCTCTCGGGACCGACATCTTGCCGCACATATTAGGACATTGGACTGGGAAGAGTGGGCATGCGTCAAGGTGGTTCTGTTTGGAAGAAAGCAAGGAATTATATTGAAGCGAAAAATGTGCGGTGCTTTCCATAAGACTAAGTCTAAACTCCGCAGGTAGTCTGATCGTGACAAAAATTGTTATTATTTTTCTTTTGGTGCAGGGGTTAAGAGCCGATATTGGATTTCCGATGTATTTCGAAAGAATGTGAAAGGAGATATGAAATGTGAGAAAGGTCTAATAATGAAGGCTTTCACCACGCTACTCGGCAAATTCTAACAAGTTAACTCTTGCGTTAACTCGCAAAAAAACTCCTTACATAGTTCAATGACCTTTTATTTCACGCAATAAGAGCTCAAAGGTTGCTAATATTCGCTTACAAGCTTCAATGCTTTGCGATGGAATTAAAGTTCGGAAAGTTCAAGCCCCATAAAAACCCAATAGAAATTATGATGATTGTGTCTAATTGCTTACTTCTTAGCATATGCATGGTCGTCCTTACTGACTGAACGTACGTGAGTGCGTATCTACTATCTACCTACCTTGTTTGTTTACCGGACTACACGGCAAGTACGAACCACAAGTAAAGCACATGTTGAGAACGTAATGAATATATTTATACTTCGTGAAACAAACGAGCCTCTGTTTCCATTATAATTATTAAAGCCATTTGACAGGTGGAAATGCACAAAACATAAGCTAGACTACGCTCTGACCTAATTTGTAATTCCAAATAAAATTGAAACATAATTAAGTATATTTTTTCACGACGTCAAATCCACATGTTATTAAATCACTGGCTGGTAGCTACGGTACTCACTTGGAAAGGCGGCTGAAAAACATAACCTTTTACATTATTTTTCAACATTATCAGTTACCTCTTTTAAATAATTGAGGTGGAAAAAATTGCTAAGAATTTCCTTCCGAGACAAAATCAATGCAATCTTCTCGAGATCGATCTCCCGCGCGTCGAACTTCATTCAGTCAAAGTATCAAGTTTAGCTTTAAGGGCGAAACTTACCTCGTTCAACCCTTTGGTTATCTTTAAATCTTTATCTTTAGTATTTCCTCACTTACGGTCGCAAGCGGGTAAAATTTACCTCTATTTCGTTGACGAATTTCTGAAATGTGTTATTATGTTTCTAAATATCTACGCTTGCTAGCGTGAAGACATTTGCTGAACTGACAACTTTGAATACATTACTGTAAAAGAATGCATTATAAACTATTCCTTTGTATTGGAGTTCTATTTATGAGATTTATTTGTCGGTAGGTCGCAAAAGAACAATACCTACCGTCCACAAAATAGAAGTAGGCAATTAAAATTGTTATTCTCACTAAAGAAAATTTGAATTAGAGGAACGCAGGAAATGTTCTTGGAAATACACGTTTGGAGATATAGTGAGGTCTGAAATTTGGCGCGACAAAAAATTATTTCACTTTTTCTCTTCCATTTTAAAAAAATGTCACATCTGTCGTGTGTATTGTTGATCAGTACAGACGACAGTAAGTCTTGCCGTGACCGAATATTGACTTAACAAAGATTGAAATTATATTGTAAGTGGAAGCAATTGTGTTTTTGTTTTGGGTAGTCCCTTTCAGTATTTTAAACATTTAAAACAGCTTGAGTATCTATTTGGACAGCACAGCTCGTGATCATGGTAAATCTGCAGTCATCTGGATTTTCCGAGAATTTTCAAACTTTCATTCTGACCGTCACAGATTATGTAGTTCCAGTTCTTGTATTAGTCGACTACGTATTTCAAAATTCAAAATGGCCGCCATTTTGTCCACTATCAAAGTGCTCAATTTGGCCGCAAGGAACGGCGGGATGAAGAAAGTTGGTGAGAGCCGATTCCTACTTAGCCTGCGAGCAAGCTCTCCTGTTTGGGCGAGTGAAACAGGTCTCGCGCGTTCTCGCGAGGCTCGCTTCGCTTGCCCAAATAGGAGAGCTTGCTCGCTGGCTAATTCCTCCTGATCCTGCCTTTGATGTCTCGTGTTTCGCTGATTTCCGATCAGCGTTCCTCAGTTTCGCGCGCATGTCAAAGTGCCTGTCAATAAGGCTGTCATTTTGTGTATTATTGTCATCGATTCATCACCACTTTGAGGGTATCCTGTGTATCTACAGGTGACACAGGCCTAATATATATAATCACTATTTCGAAAGTCCTATTTGATACTGGGGCTTGTTAAACGGAAACTCATAAACTCATAGACGGAAACTCACCTCCTGCTCTACATCATATCACCACTGCCTTTTCTGAGTTCGAGACACTGATGTTCAAATAAGGACCTCATTAATTCTTACATCTTGGAAAGAAGTTCAAACACTCACTTCTCTAGGTTCTTTTGCAAAACAGTTCACTTTTTTTTCAAAAAGAAATTAAAATGATAACAACAACAACAACATTTTATTACTTCTTGAGTATGCGTAAGGCTATTTTTCTTTTTATGCGAAAGCTTAAAAGTGCTTTCTATAGTACACCTCACCGGAGACAGATTAACGTAAATCGGTCAAATGTGAAATTAAAAAGGCAAAAGAATACCTCTTCATCTTGAGAGATGAATTCGCCGTGTAAATTTCGATTCAATATCAATTTCATCATCACACTCATGCATTGCAATCAGTTAACTTTTCCCGTTAGTAGCTATTTAGTTGACTCTTAACAGTTAAGTTTTTCTAGCGTCTGGCAAACTTGATGGGTTATTGTGAGGGTACAAAGAGATTTGAGCAGGAAAAACAGCACAGGGGTGGGGTAGGGGGTAAGAGCGAAGGAACGCAGTTCTCCTCTCTGATCTCTCTCCCCCTCTTTTCCTCCCTATTTTTTCCCGGCCTTCTGACTTCGCGCCACACTCCACTACCTGAACGTCTGGCACAGGCTATTCAGAAAGAAATAATGATTTCTGGGTTCCGTTTCTCGAAAGTCCAGATAGCTTTTAGGGCCTGAAAAGCTGATTTGTGTTTGTCGTGATTGCATTCAAGGTTAAAATTTCAATAATTCTGAGAATGATACAACAAATCTATGGTTTGTGAGCCAGGAACTATACTACTATTCTACAGGTTTTGATTTTAGAATTTGCGCTCGGGCATGAAAAGTTCCGGGACTTTCGAGAAACGGGCCCCAGGCTAGGAAAAGATATCCTACTAAAGCTTCCTCTGATCCGCTATTGCATACTAAACTATCGGAACTACAGTCGACTCCCGATAACTCGAACCTTTTATGGAAATCGAACAAAGTTCGAGTTATCGGAAGTTCGAAGCAAATAACCGGAAGTATTAAGCAATTAAGCAAAAAGATGAGGAGGGAATGCAAGTATCATACACACTTAACAGGGATGGACACTGAATTTGAACTGCAGGCGGACAAAAAAGCTAACGACGAAGAATTGACACGGTTGTTTTGAAATAAATTCAGTGCTTCGGACTTCTGTACAGTGGTACACCGTTCTTTTTCCGATTAGTCAAGTGCTTAAAACATGGTTCGAGTTATCGAGGGTAAAATTGTATAGAAATAATCTGAAGGGAAACAAAAATTACTTCGAGTTACCGAGGGTAAAATTACAGTAAATGTATGAAGGAAATCCAGGGGAAATCGACTTTGGCTCGAGTCAGCGCGAGGTTCGAGTTAGCGAGGGTTCGAGTTATCGGGAGTAAACAGTACAGTGAATAATAACAAATTCACCTTCAAAGCCAGCGATACTGGTGCCATATCATCCTTACAGAACCTGCAACTCACATCAGCACTACTGAATTGATCCAATTCGACGCCGGTGTCTTCAGAGGTTGACGTCTGATCCTAGCATAATTCAGAAATGAAATAAGGAATATATGAATTTCATATTTGATGAGAACCACGGAATACGTACAGAAATAAATGTGAAGAAGATCATCTTAACACTATCTTAGTTTAAGACGCATAGACTGCATGATAAGTTGAGTCTTTGATTGCGAGGATCTTCTATGCATTTGTTTTAAAATTCAGTAATGATACATTGATAATTACCCTCAACAGCTTATATTTTCGGGTGTACATGATTCCTATTAACTGATAAATTTGCCATACCCTTTCCCATAGCGAAAGAGCTTGAAAGCGTCAGCAATGATAACCTCTTAACTTCTAAAGATTGTATATCTCGCTGGGTTGTTAGTATAAGTTAGAAAAAGCGCATAACTGAAGTATTTCTGTTGGCACCTCCGAGAAACGACAAAATCTCATTACGTTCAGTAATTTTTGCCGCCAGTCGTGACCAGGATTTGTCTTAATCCTATTTGAGGTATAAGACAACGGTTTATCTCATAAAGCTGAATATAGAAACTGTTTTCCTTTAATAACGCTAAACATATCTGATTAAAGGTTATTTTTTCCGTGAGATGCTCGTGTTCAACAAAACCAAATCACATCTTTTAGTTTGTTTGTTTGTAGATCGATGTTACGAGACATGCTGTCATTTTTATCTTTTCTGATTGCTTCTGACTTTGCGAACGTTTAAACAACCTCCGGGTTGGGAGGAAGGAAGTGAAGACCCAGCATGGGAACGAGGCTAGCAATGGAGAGGAAAAAATGAGAAGGAAAAACATGTAAAACGTGGAAGAAAAAGTCGAAAATACATTTTGAAATCTGACGTCAATATTATTATTTTGAATTGCCCCTCAGATAAAGCATGGTTAAAAAGCGCAATGGCTGTGAGTGCCTCGGGAGTCATTGTTATCCGTTTAGTTTGCTTTTCTGGACTTGACCGTGCGCATCTTTCAATAGTCTTCTGATCATTTTAAACGTGCAAGATGGAGTCATTTCATTATTATCGCCAGAATCCCATTACGTCTTTCCTTTAGTACCTAACTTTGGCACTCCTTGCGAGGTTAATAAACAACAAAAGCCCTAGACGTCATCGCGTGCAATCATCGCGTGCAAATGGCCTATTGAAACGTCGCATTGTATTAAACGGCAGCTTCCTGAGAGATGTTCACTCCACGCCTTCATGACACAAGTGATCTGATTTTGAGCACCGCCCATGATGCTTAGCGATCCCAGCACGCACACCGCCTGGGCAGAAGTCACAATTTGTGCATGAAAACAAACGATTGTGCACGTTCAGGGAGCTCTCAACATAAACTGCAGCACAATGCAACTAAGGATAAAGTCAACCCATTGTCGGAATAATCTCTCAAGCAACAACAAACATTTAGTGTAAGATGTCCAAAGAGACTCAGAAGCGACGTGAGAATCTATAAAGCTCGAAATGCATTATGATATGACATGATAAGTTCGATATCATCGTAAGATACCATTGTCTAAGCTGGTGGAAAATTGCTATTTTCTTGAAACATTTTTTATTTTCAAGATTATGAGATTACTAAAAGATCAGGATTTAGCATCCGCTTTCATTAACACGAAACAGTGGTCTTCTGCTTGAATTTTAATAGCCGATAAAACTTCTCTCTACGAGTTCTTCTTCTTGCACAGGATCTGTACTAAGCTTAGCTGATATGAGAAAGAACACTTGATTATTGCAAAAGGTCAGTGCCACCCAGAAGGGACTAGACTGCAAAACAGTCGGTTTTTTCACAAAATCAGTAAAGAAATCGGTAAAAAAAATCGGCGTAAGAGTCTTACTCGCACAAAACGCGCGAGCCGTCACACGCCCGTAAGGCGAGAGGAAAAGAAACGTATTTTTAGCGTCTCTCCCCAGTCTCGCTCTCTGTTTTCAGCCTCGTTCCAGACCTTCTTTTTGACTGCTCGAACGTAATAAATACGCAAAAATACGGACTGTTTTGCAGTCTAAGAAGGGACTAAAGAATGTAGTTGGTATCCCGCCAAATTTAAATGAAAGAGGGCGTTTTCTTCAAAGCGCTAATTGTATTTTGTTTATCCTCGCGCTAGCGTGCTCGTTTCGGCTCATTGCTTTAAGAACGAGTTATATTTTTTGTGTAGCGTGCTTGTTTTGACTCATCGCTTTAAGAACGACTTATGTATACCGCGCGCTTGAGTATCAAATCTCTATGTAGTGGGAGGAAAGTTTTAAGGGCATTAGGTTTATTACAATTCAAAAAACAAAAATAAGAAGCCTTGCTATCTGTTTTTCTTTGCGGTGTTATAACTCTCTTGAAAAAATATAAACACTCGACATTACTGATGCCTATGACATAAAGAAAAATTAGTTGGTCATGCGATTTCGAATCAGAGCAAAGAACTGATTTGTACAGTATAATACCTTGTGCTCAACAAAAGTACATTCTTGTAATCTAAACGGATTTCACCTTGACTAAGCTTTGTCACGTAATGATTTTCCCCGCAGGAATAAATTTAATATAAAGGCACGACTTTTGGGCGATAAAACTTCAAGTCAATCGTTTTTGGAAGTTTGGTGTTTTTCTGAAGCTAATTGGTGACTTCCTATTTTTGTTTAAGGTTTCCTACAATTTCAAGCATACTTGAGCATACATTTGTTTACGTTACAGAGTGAGGAGTGAAGAAGTGAATTTCAACATACCTCGAGAATTTCCGGACTGACATTGGAAAAACTCGCTTCGTTCGTTTCATCCTGGGAGCAACTGAAGTACTGTTTCAAACATATAGATAAAAATTTCTGAATGGCCTCGGTTTCCAGCGATCCACTCTTAATATCAATGCGTTCACAAGGTGCTCGCGAGCAAAACTCGCTTACAACAGCGGTCTGCAATTCCGATGTCATCATTCCTGATGTAGAAAAAACAAGAATACGAATTTAGTTGCGGTGTTGTCCTTCTGTACCTATATCATTAAAAATGCGGAAAATCTCCACACCGCCTACACGTTCGTACCGTACGAGTAGTCTCCTTTTACGGAAATCCCTGAGGCGCCAATTTTCTACCGCTTTGAGGTGGAAAACAAACTCGATTAGACGATACTGATAGAAGCAGATATAATAAAAGCAAAGATATTGCAGATAGGACAAGGTCGATCAGTGTCCCGGCCGGCTATTTATCAACGTATCGGCCAGTTTCCTCTGCTATACCCATTTAACCATATACTAAAGCCTACATTCGTTAAATATTTTTTAAGCGTATACTCATGATACCAATAATATCTTCATGATTTGTGCGGCGACACACAAGCTCACTAATTTTCCTCTTAGGGCCTCTGGCTTACGTTGTCAGCGTTTCTAAGAGGTATGATGGACGAAGATAAGGAAAAATGATATCTTTCGGATTCATTTGTAATGCATATGGCAGCTGGCAGCGGACAACCGAGGAAAAAATTAACTTAGAAAATATCTGTTTCGGATTATAATGTAAACTCGTTTTTTACATTCACCTGCACTTCATTTGAGGAACATAATACACCACAATTAGCTACAGTTGATAATTTTGTTTTTGGATGCTTTACTTTTCTTAAATTAGGCCACTAAGTGCAGTGCATTAACTAAAGAGGGTGATAAGAAAAGAAAAGAGTCTTTATCAGCTTTTTCCGAGAAAGGAAGATTATTCCCGAGATAGTTCAGTAACACCATGACATATCATATCATACAATAACAAAAAGAAACGTGTAATACCATAATTATTATCTGATATGTGGTGATATCCTGGATATCCGACCGCGAAATGATAAAAAATGTTACTTTGAAGTTTTTTGATCGGCACGAAACATATTTTCTGATAATTTTCGCAGCTGCACTTTTAAAAGCATTGTGACAGGCGCATAACAAGTATTCTGCGAAATTATAAGTAATTGGTATTTAATTATTATTGATCGTGTTGGTATATTACCAACGTGACAAAAACAATTTGTCTTATCAAAACTAACAGGCAGATTTCAGATGCAATTTAGATAAACCAAGGTTATAAATTGTAATTAGTAGAGCTAAAATAAATCTCTTTCGAGACGTTTCGCGTTATCAACTGCAATCAAAGCTGACTTGGTCCTTTGGAAAATTTAAGCATGTTTGGTTTTGAGGGCGCTACTCTCATGGCTCTACCGTGGTGGAGATGTCTTAGACACAGGACTGAAAGGGTGTCATCTCGCCCGGGGGTTGGGGGTACTCGATATATCCTTGGGTAGGGAGGTGCAGCCAGGCCCCTAACACCCTGACCCTGTTTAAGACAAAAATCGCTGATTTTCCTACCCTGTTTAAGACAGAATTCCGATTTTTGATACCCTGTTTAAGACATTTAACCCGAAACCATACCCTGTGTAAGACAATAATAAATATCGAAACTCTTTCTTTATTTAATCCATTGGCAATCACAAAACTATTTACAGCTTGATCAACAGAGTCACGCAGGCTGTTTATCGTCCAAGAAAAGATACCCTGTTTAAGACAAAAACTGATAAATTCGATACCCTGTTTAAGACAAAAATCCCGAAAAACATACCCTGGCTGGCCGCACGTCCCCATTAAACCCTTATCGGGGAGTAACCCCTGGGGTCTCTCGTTACCCCACCCTTACATCTTCCTTGTCGACATCAACTTGCTCTTCGGCTAAAAGTGCCCATAACGTAAAACGTTTTTACTTTTCAATTGAAAGAACGCATTACTGCGCAGACCTCTGTAAAAAAAAATGCAATTTGAATACTATGTGATTTTTGTTGTAGAATATTTTTAAAACGTTCAAATTTTCCTCCATTTTGGCACTCCTTTTGTCTTAGGCCTCGCTCGGAAGCACGAAGCAAAGTAGTTGTGACGTAGATTAAGCAAATATAACGTGTGTTTAAGATAAAAGTGAAAAAGTGTGTTATATATTTCTTCTAATTTATCTCAGACTGAAACAACTGGTAAAAGGTAAAACATGCCACAGTAAGATGCGTTGCAGTTAGATAAAACAATACTGGCGACACTAAGAAAGATATAAATTTCGTAACTAGTGGAACGGGTGTGCCAAGGAAGTTTATTTAATAATGCCAAATTCGTTGTATCGCGTTGCGCGTTTTGCAACCTTCGAAGTAGCCTGCGAATACAGCCGTGAGTGTTCTCCTTGCTCCTCGCCGCTAGAGACACGCTTGGCCCGCAAAAACAAAACTGAGAATGGTGAAGGAAATCACGATGGTGAGTAGAATTTTTTGTCGAGGGAAGGAGGCAGACATTTCTTTATTCTTGCAAGTGACAAGAATAGGAAACGCCAGAAAAATCTTCGAAGCAAACTAGTCGATTATAACCACAAACAGGACGATCACAAGCAACGGACCTTGAAACACAGAAACAAACCAAACGGATTAAAATCCATCAATCACAAATCACAAACCATGACCTATATAACTCGTTCAAGTAAACATGTGTTTCCTAAGAGGTCCGCTAAGATGATTGACGGAACAGAAAAACCCAAAATTCCTTCGAAGTTTGCAAAACGCACAGCGCCATAAAACGAATTTGGCAGTAACACTCAAAATTTTTCGAAAAAGTTGTTTTAGTGTGCGTTCTCTGCAAATAACATAATCAATTTTTTTTACAGTTATATCGCTCCTGCTTAAACACAGGGAGTCAGTGTCGAAGATAATTTTTTTAATAAACCTTATTCACGATACCCGCCATCCTTGCGCGCGCTTAGGGCCTGATGGGACAAAAGCTGAATGTCACGTGGTTTCTCAGGGTGAAAACAAGTGAAAAAAAAAACTGGCGATTCAAGAAATCGCGGTCGAGTTTGTTTATCCTCGACAAAAGGCAAGTTATTAGTGAAAGTGTTCATTTTAACTTTATTTGGAAGCAATACCGACCGTAGGTGCAGCTGCAGGTGTCCGTTCAGCATGTAATAATGACGTAAATCTTGTGTAACTTTTGAGTGACTATTAAATCGTGGTCTCGTTTTGATAGAATAAACAAATTCGAACGCGATTACTCGTATTGGCAAATTTCATCCATTGTTTGCCCCCTGAGACACCAGGTGACATTGCTAATATCCCATCGATCCTAAGGCGCATGCAAAGATGACGGGTATCGTGAATAAGGTCTATTGCGGGCGAGGGACAACAGGAGCCCGCAGGTTATTCTTGGTCAGCAGCACTTTATAAACAGGCCACCTAAAACTAACACCACACAATTTGCTTTAAATAAGCGCAACGAACGGATCACGTATTTGACAATCATTTCCCTGTATTATCATAAAAATGCATAAACGTGTTACAATTTCTGATTTGCACTCTGCTGTTTACTGAAGTGCTGAAATACGTGTAAACTATCAATATTAACATGGTAAATTGAAATTAACCGATAACTTGAACCCCCGCTAACTCGAACTGTTTTTCGTGTCCCTTCAGAGTTCGAGTTACCGAGGTTCTACTGTGGGTTAATTGAGTGTCTTTGGCCTAATTAAACTCCAAAAACACGAGTAATTTGAAAAACTGTGAATGGATTGCAGGGACAAGTCCTTAGTTTCAAAGGATAGAAATATCCGCGTGGAGACGAATCATCGCTTCACGCTTATTTTCGGGATAATTTTCTTGATCTGCAATCAGTTCGACCCTTATAAACTGACGAAAAAAAGCCGTGCTGATCACTACTAGTGTTCACCGATCGCATCGCTTAGACTTTACTGATCTTTAGAGGCTCCTGCATACCGTTATTCGACAAAAATAGCCGGTGGACGATTAGAAAGACGTTTCCCCGTGCCCGGCGCTCTCTTTTCTTTTTCCCCGGAACAAAGAACGAGGAACGAGAGTTATTCAGTCTCAGACGTTTTTTTGGCAAAGAACTCGTTCCATTTTTTTCTCGTTCCATTTCTCGCTCCACAACCGAAAATCCCTTACCTTGGTCTCCCGGGGGGGGTTACTGCCATAAATGGGCCATATAGGTATGTGCCGCTGTGAAGGGTATGGTTTTCAAGCAGTTTACTCTAGGATAGGGTATATAAATCAGAGCGTTTGGCTCTAGAATAGGGTATCATTTTTCAGGAAACTGATCAGTTGGTTAAGATTTTATCTAGACTAGGTACACAGCTACTCTAGGATAGGGGAATTTGGGAGTTTACTCTAGTATAGGGTAGCAAAATTCAGCTGAACTAGCTCTGGTAAAGGTTAAGGGTTCCAGGCTCCCAGCGGCACATCCCCACCCAGAAATTCCTTAAGTACCCCCCCCCCCCTGCTCCGCTTGGTCTTTCTTTGCTCCGAAACCAAACGCAAACGCTTGTTACCCATGCAGGCTATTATTCACCCCAAATTACCTACTTGGGGACTGGTATCAAGAGATAGAACTAATGTGCTCTTGCTACTTTTTACTGAGCGAATTTCTAGCCTACTGCATCCGGTCGAATCAGAAATGAACGTTTGAAAGGCACGAGGTTTCCCCAGCAAGCACAATGCAGGTAGATGCAAAAGGATAGCCAAGTACAAGTAGCCAAGTGCACTCTTTATTTTTATGTTTCTTGCCGATATGATCAGTAACCGGGGAAGTTAATGGCGGAATGTTTGTTAAGTACATTCACCTTCATATCTATGCCGTGATTTTTTCAATCGCCTTCAGTCGATCAACAAGATATGAGTTGACAGAGTTGAAGCTGAAATACTCTATTTAGCTAATGTATTTGCGAGACAATTCATAACCAATTTCAAAAACGGAGGCCAACAATTCATAAAACCAGGCGATTCAACTTACCTCAGAAATGTCATGCATTGACTGGCATGCTGGCTTGCTAAAGATAAGTACGGGGTTGCACTTTGTACTAAGAGCTGATGCTTCTGCTGCACTGCAGGAAAAATGTTTTTAACGTGGTTTTTATAATTAGA